CCAGCACAGGGGGGTCGCGGCACAGTGGTGCCGTGGTTAGTTGGATCACGTATAATGATATCTGATAGTGATTAAAATCACTATCAAAAATAAACGCTTCGATGCAAATCTTTAGATTGTGTTTAATTAAAAAAAAATTGGTGTATTATTCTAAAAGCTACATGATCTGCTAGCTCCTTATTAATATCTTGATTAAGATAAAGTATGTCGAATGAAAAAGGGAATATTAAAAAATATTATTTCTCATAAAAAAATTGTGTTGATCCATATATTTTTCAAAAAGTTATAGCATAATAAAGTTAAAAATGTAAAATATAAAATCAAGAAATTTCACACAAAAATAGCATTCCATAGCCATTTTCACCACGAAGACGAAGTTCAGAGGTCAAATTTTTTTTTTGATAATAAAGTATATTACATTAGCTTCAATTAAAGATATATATAAAAGTGTCAGACTTTCCGGAACACTTCCAAAAGTTAAGTTGAAAATGTTCTAATTTCTATATGCATTTTTTATATTTGAAGCTCCCCCGTATATAGTGAAATAGTCTGATTTAAAAAAAAAGTATGTCCAATGAAAGATGTATATAAATACTACTTCTCATGAAAAAATTGTATTGATCCATACATTTTTTAAAAAGTTATAGCACTTTAAAGTAAAAAATGTAAATTATAAAATCGAAAATTTTCACACAAAAATAGCATTCGGTAGCCGTTTTCACCATGAAGACAAGTCCAGAGGTCAAATTTTTTTTTTTCAAATTAAAGTATATTACATTAGCTTTAATTTAAGATATATATAAAAGTGTCAGACCTTCCGGAACATTTTCAAAAGTTATGTTGAAAAAGTAAATTTTTTGTGAAAAAGTTGTCATTTTAAATCCCCCCCTGTGGGCAGGTTAAGTGTCAGATTTACAAAAAAAATATACCAAATGATAAGTAAAGACATCAAGCATCTATATAAAAAAAAATTATATTGATATGTTCATTTTTGAAAAAGTTAGAGCATTATTAAGTTAAAAATATAAAAAAAAATTATTTTACAAAAATCGTAATTTTTTATTAACTTTGATGTCAACTTTCACCACGAAGACAAGTCCAGAGGTCAAATTTTTTTTTTTCAAATTAAAGTATATTACATAAGCTTTAATTTAAGATATATATAAAAGTGTCAGACCTTCCGGAACACTTTCAAAAGTTAAGTTGAAAAAGTTCTACTTTCTATATGCATTTTTTATATTTGAAGCCCCCCCATATATAGGGAAATAGTCTGATTTAAAAAAAAAGTATATCCAATGAAAGATGTATATAAATACTACTTCTCATGAAAAAATTGTATTGATCCATACATTTTTTAAAAAGTTATAGCACTGTAAAGTAAAAAATGTAAATTATAAAATCAAGAATTTTCACACGAAAATAGCATTGGGTAGCCATTTTCGCCGTGAAGACAAGTCCAGAGGTCAAATTTTTTTTTTTTTTAATTATAGTATATTACATAAGCTTTAATTTAAGATATATATAAAAGTGTCAGACCTTCCGGAACATTTTCAAAAGTTAATTTTTTGTGAAAAATTTGTCATTTAAATCCCCCTCTGTGGGCAGATAAAGGGTCAAATTTACAAAAAAAATATACCAAATGATAGGTAAAGACATCAAGCATCTATATAAAAAAAAATTATATTGATATGTTCATTTTTGAAAAAGTTACGACAGTTTTTAGTAAAAAAAATTGAAAAAATTTCGAAAATAAGCGATTTTTAAATTTGTAATTTTTTTGGAGGTTTCCCCCATTTATGGTGAACAAGGGTAATTTTTTCAATTTTTGAGGGTAATGTCTTCGACTAGATACGATTTGTGATCTTTTGACGTATCATTGAAAGAAATCGGTTCGGTGAGAGCTGAGAAAAAGTGGTAAAAGACACAAAAAAAAAAATAATAAAATAAACACATCGTAGTAAAACCAATACCTTCTCAGCTTCGCATTGAAGCTAATAACGACTAGTTGAAGAGATACAACATGAAAACCTTGACATTCTTTCTGCTTTGGGTTATACAATTAACAATGGATATTTTAGAAGTAATGGAAACACTATACAATGAAGACCGCATAGTGAAATTGGATTATTTTTCCTACCAACCGTTTTCTGTTAGCGCACTATCGAATAATAATGATATACGAATATGTATTCAACATCAAGATGTTTACACCCTTCCATCTGATTCCTATCTCTTGATAGATGAAGAACTCTCGGGAGTTCCTGCCGGTTCAGATGTACAATTGGTTAACAATTGTCTAGCTCACTGCTTCATTGAAATACGATATTTATTGAACTCAATAGAAATAGATAGATCGCGTTTGCCTGGGATAATGTCTACAATAAAAGGATACGTCACGTTTTCACTGAATGATCATACACGGTTTGAAAATGCTGGCCGGAGTGTTGTAACTGCAAATACGAGTATGAAATTTTAAGTATGCATACCTCTAAGGTTATTATTAGGATTTGCCGAGAATCATAAAAAAAGTCATCATTATTGTCGTCAAGACTTAATATTGCAACGTACTAGTACAGATTTAAACTGTATTTAGTCGACAAATGAAAATTTATCTAGTTGTAAAATTATTTTGACTTATGTTATATGGAAAGATCCACATGTAAGTGTGTCGGATGCCATGAGGTTAGACACGCTCAAAATCCTGGAAACCTCAAGACCGCTTCAAATAGCATTTCGAAGTTGGGATCTGTATGAATATCCCGGACTACCAAATAGTAAAAGACATCTAAGAACGGATTTAAACGCACTAAATTACTTTTTGTTTTATTGTACATAGCTTTTGAATACTTTGTATTTCTTCACCAAAGTAACACTTCTGAATAACTTTTATTATGCATGGTAGTCGCCTTATCAATTTCATCCGCCTGCACAGGTCCGTACTGATACTTTACTTTACGTGTTTTAGCCAACGCATTATTCACAAACCGATAACAATATGCTTAAACGCGTTGCAATTTTGTTAATGACGAATAATTATTTAAAATTGACAAGTCATGACTAACCGCTGACACCAACACTTGCGTTGTTGCGCGCTCTTCTGTCGATATTTCTATTTGACGATCTTCGTCAAAAGTTGACCTGGGCCACTCAGAACTTTTCTTAACTAACCAACTCCACCATATTATTAAATTCTTTAATTGAAGTGGGCAAATGCCACGTGAGACCACATCCGCCAGGTTGTCAGCAGTACGCACGTGATGCCATTGTGCAATGGATGTGAGCTCGTGTATTTCTCCTACTCTGTGGGCCACAAACGTTTTCCACCTAGTTGACAGCGATGCTATCCATGAAAGTACCACTGTAGAATCGAACCAATAAAAATAATTAGAAATATTTAATCGTAAACTGCGCCCATACTTATTTGCTAAACGTACTAATAACACGGCTGCTAACAGTTCGAGTCACGGCAGTGACACAGTTTTGAGTGGGGCGACGCGAGACTTGGAACAAATTAAATTTACCAAACACTGACCATCGTTTTGTACTACCCGTAAGTACAAGCATACACCGTATGCCGTAAGTGACGCATCCGCGAACCCGTGTACTTCAATCTCGCTTATACTGCCGTCACCGACTACTTGCCTTGGTATTACTAATGTGTTTATTACACATAATTTTTCACGGCTTTCTTTCCACTCGCGTTCTATATTTTTGGGTATCTTATTATCCCATCCGATTTTTAATTGCCATAACTTTTGAATTAAAATTTTAAATCTAATGACTACTGGATTTATTAGTCCCAACGGATCGAAAATTGCCGCTATTTCAGCCAGACTAGAACGCTTTGTAATTGAAACATCTTTATTGTATTCTTTTATCATGTACTGATATGAATCATTGTTTTTGTTCCAGTACATACCTAATATTTTGGTTACTATATTTTCTGGTACTGTAGTACTATCATGTTGATTTCTAGAATACTCTAAACTAGTCGGTAATATACTAGGTTCGTTGCTAGCCCACTTACTCAATTCAAAACCCGTTTCACCCAAAACGGTAATTAATCCCCCCCGTACACTTCCTCCACAAAAATGGAAGGAGGGTGAGTGGGTGAGGCGCGGTGCCCACTTCTCTCTATATTACCCTACTTATATATTATATAATTTTTATAATTCTTTTCAAATTATTATTGATTTTTATTTTTAATATGTTAAAAGTAATTACTTTGAATCTACTTTTTTTTGCCCTTTTAAGTGAAAGTTTATAATAAAAAAAATGAATTTATTACGATAACTTTTAGTTCAACTTACAAGTTTCAAATTGACATAATTATATAGAAAAAAATGGTATTGTTAAGATTAATAAGCATTCAGGAAATTTTATAATTACTATTTACAGTAAATTTATTATTAAAGCTTGATTTTGATGCATTTTTATTGTGATAGATCACTTAAATAGAAATCATAGTAATCATTTCTAATTAACTTTTGGCGTTTAATAAGATTCTTATTGAAATATGCAGAACTTAATTAATTTTAATGATTTACTTTAACTAAAAGAACCAATAAAAAAAAAAGTTCTTAAAAAGATTTACTTAATTAAGCGTATTATAAAATTTGATTATAATTTTAAAAATCCATCGTTAAATTCAGTTGAAACTAAAAATCATTTTTCTATTTAGATTTTTTATAATTTTGAAACCCCTACTTTGGGCATTTGAAGGATCAGATTCACAAAAAGAATATACCAAATAATCGTTAAATATCTAATGTATCTATTAAAAAAAAAAATTCTGTTAATCTTTTTTTAAAAAAGAGAAAAAATAGTGAGACACACACACACACACACACACACAAAAATAAAATAAAAACATCATGGTAAAATTAATACCTTCTCAGTTTCGCATAGAAGCTAAAATATGAGATTATCATTAAGATAATACTTATTACAAAATAATATTTTCAAAAGCACGGGAATAATTATTAAGAAGACCTTCAATGTACATCTAGGTATAAAACATTTTTAGTATAATTGCAAGTTGTTCTTATTAAAATACAAATAAAACCAATTTTTTAACAAAAAGAATATTGTTAAGTTGCTTGAGATGTATTTTTAAATTATATTATTATTCGGATTCACTTCCAGCAGATTCATAATCACCAACTTCAATGTTCATTTTGTATTCTTGATCACAACCCATGTATGCATCACTCATAAAATATAATGTATATGAATAGTTACCTATCATAAAATAAACATTTTAGAGTTATAAATACTAATCATAATAGAATTATACATTATTAAACATTTTTCTCAATATATCATATTTTTTTAATTTATTAAGGCCTGAAAAGAAGAAAAGTTTGAAAAACTTGCCCTTTATAAAATAATTTTTTTTGTTATTTACCAGGATTTGGTGCAACAAAATCTAATTTCACTTTTGCTTTTTGTTGTAATGTTAATCTTTTAATAGATAACAAAGAATTTGTTTTTGGGTCACCAATAACTAACCACCAACCTTCTTCACGTTTCTGAAAGAGAATAAAATTTTAATGGTTTAATAAAATTATAGTTATTAAAATAAAGTCATAAGGCATGGTAGATTGTTAAATTAAATCAGTAAAATAGGATGGAATTTGTGTTTTTGAATGATATTCATGAAAATGTAGGCATTTTTTTTTATTTAACATATGATTACTTTAAAAGTTTTTGAGTATAATTATACAAAAACGTTAATTCTACAAATTTTATAGATTAAATTTCAGGTCTTGTTTATTATTTATGGGGTACATTTTTAAAATTAATTAAAGGTTTTGAATAAGCTTAAGTAAAAGAAAGCTATTTATGTATCTCTCATATTTCTTAATAATGCTTTGAAAGATTTATTACAAATAAAAAATGTATGGGGTGTGGCAGACAGCTTCTATTAGATTTTTCATCTTCTCTCATGCCAAATTCATGACCTTTTTTTTAACTTAATAGTATACTATGTAAGCTTTGATGATGTGGGAGATCGTGTTAAGTGGACGTTTAAGATAAGGGGGCCGACCTTAAGTAGTTAGGATAAAGGTGAGGTAATAGAAGGAGTTTATTACATAAACTTCAATTTAATATGTTCATTTTCAAAAAAATTGAAAACTTTAACCTCAATATGCATATTTCCATTTTTAATCTCCTTATAAAAGTAGTAAACATTTTTTTTAAATTTATTTATTTTTAAAAAAGTAATAGATATGTTTAATAATAAAAATAAATAAATATTGACATTTGTGACTGATTGGGTTGTTCATAATTTCATAAAATTACTACAAATAAAAATTGATAAGCAAAAATAAAACATTTTAAACTCAATAACTGTTTTAACATAACAATAAAATATTAAATATCGCTAAAATAGAAGAGGGCTATTAAAATCTCAGGAAGACTAAATTCACCCCTGAATGTACCTGGATTCAACTCTAGTTGTAATACTTTCTCTATTGAAATATTTTATTGTAAAAATTTAGGTCAGATTTGGTAGTTACAAACCCTTATTTTTGAGATTCAACCATAATTTAAATTTTATAATCAAACTCTAATCGAACATTAAATTAAACTATTTTTAGATAAATATTTTTTATCTCTCTACAACAAATTCGACGTAATATTTGATTAAACTATATCGATTTTTGAGTAAATTTATAACAAAAAAGTTAGGTTTGGTTCGAAAATCGTACTTTTTGAATATTATTAGTCATAATGCTTATTCTAGACAATGATATATTTCGAAATTCTTAAAATTTTTAAATGGTGTAAAGCACAAAAAAAAAAGAGACATTTTTAAATATTTAATTATGGTATTAAATAAATGTATAAAACTGAGTACAACAATTAAAACTATTTGGTTTTGATTCTATTATAAAGATACTGTTTTAAAATTGTTTAAAATTTTGAATATACAATTATTTTTATAGCAATAAAAAACAGTGTGTTACAAGACACGCGGATGAAGTGAAACTATTTTCTGAGTCATTTATTTGATAAAATATTAGATTTGTATGGAAAATAAAAAAATATACCTAAAATTTTTATTTTCAATTGAAATTAATTTTATTTATTATTATTATTATTATTTTTCTTAATTTTCGAGGTTCTACTTTAAGGCCTTACTTGTTTTCTATAATGATGGATAAAACTACTACAAAAGTACAAAGAGAGGTGCCGTAGTGTATGTTGTTCGCTGACAATATAGTGTTAATAGGAAAGAAATTAATCAAAACCTAGAGGTGTGGAGATCAGCTCTTGAAAGAAAGAGATTAAGAATAAGTAGGAGTAAGACAGAATATATAGAATACAAGAGTGACAAAGGAGAACACGATGTAGGTGAATAGAGGAGATCAGTGACAATTGGAGGGGACATGATAGGAGAGGTAGAAAGTTATAAGTATTTAGGATCAGTTGAAAAAAAAAGCGGTGGTATTAACTAGGATGTAAGACACAGATGTTAAGAACCCCAGAATATTATTTTATAATTGAGTAGAGTATAGAATACATGGTCGTCGGACACAGGTATGTGCTGACCAAGGGATTTAGGGCAACCATGGACAAAGGACTCCCACTGTAGATCCCCTACAGTCAGTCTTGGTTGGGTATGTAAAAGTGAAGCTACAAATAGTATTCTAAGTCTAAGCCGGTTAATTCTAAATTTTATTCTAAGTCTATATACTAAAGCTGTATTCTATTTCGTGTCATTTATTATATATTCAATGTTATTTTATTCTATGAATGTGTTGAAACTTTCATGGATTGTCATATTATTTGAAAAGCTTGAGGATTTATCCATGTTTGCAGTTGATTGCTGACATTTCAGACTCATTGCAGAGTCTGAAATGTCAGCAATCAACTGCAAACATGGATAAATCCTCAAGCTTTTCAAATAATATTTTATTCTATTTTAATCAATCACTATAAAATTGATCATTAATAAATAAACCCTATTCAATTCTACTTTTTTACCAATAAATCCATCTTCTCCACGCAGTCCCACATTACACAGGATTAAGTGTGGGTGGTTAAAGTGGAGAGAAGCGTCTGGTGTGTTATTTGATAAAAGAATTCCAATAACGCTGAATGGTGAATTCTATAAGAATGTAATGAGATCAGCTATGATGTATGGTTTGGAGGTTGACAAAACAATAGAGTATAGTATGAGTGTAGCAGATATGAGAACGCTTAGATGGATGAGAGGAGTGACTAGAAACGATAGAATAAGGAACGAGCATATAAGAGGGAGTATAAGTGTAGCGTCTATCGTAGATAAGATGAGAGAAAATAGACTTAGATGGTTTGGTCATGTTATGTTGAGAGAAGAATCGGAAGCTGTAAGAACAGTTATATAAATGAATGTTATAGGAAGACCAAAAAGGAGATGGAGAGATGTCAATGAATGTGATATGTGGACGGTTGATGTAAAAGTAGGATAAAGGTGGCCGACCCCAAGTAGTTGGAATTAAGGCGAGGAAAAAGAAGAAAGAATATATATTTTGTAATATTGATATGACCACGGGGGAATGATAACAGGTCTTATAATGTAATTCACATTAAAAATCATGTGAGAAAGAGATGCTGAAAAGATATGAACAAGCACCTTTGCTTGTTCTATATACACCTTTGTTATATAGATGAATTTTACTACCAGACAAAACGCAACTGCACATTTGTTGTTCATATCCCAATATACTAAACGCACGTACTAAGGAGACCCAGGAACATGCATGATAAAAAAATAATGAATTTTCATAAAAAATGTTTTTGAGGAGAAAAATTCAATTTTAAGAAAAAGATTATGCAATTCAAGTAGCTTTGTTGGCATTATTAACAACAGCCAGGGGCAAGTGCCTCCTTATTCTGTAGACAATCCACTTGACATTTTCGTATATAGATAGATAACAGCAATGTGTGACTAAGAAATTCAGTACCAGGCTAACAAATAATTGAACATTGTATGACAACAAAACAAGGAATGTTCTATGATAATCGTAAATTCTCATAGATGATCAAAATGATTGTAGATTTTTTCATTATAATTCATATATCATAATAAATTTTGTATAAAAATTTAATTCATGATTAACAGTATTCTTAAGTAGAAACATGACTCTTAATAATATATTTAAAGTATATAATATTATTTTAAAAGTCATTAACTCAATTGATTTGAAGTTAGATATGAAAATAATAATAGTAGTAGTAATAATCATAATAATAAAATATATAGCTTTTTTGCTTTGCATCAATTTAAAAATTAAATTAAATACTTACTTGAGGGAAAAATGGGGCAATAACAGGTCCAACAACTTCGTCCTCTCTTTCTAAATTAACTGTAATATTTACACTGGATCCAGCAGTTACACGGTTTTTGTTAGAAACTTCATAACTTAATTCAATATTAGGATAACGATTACAAAACTTGGCGACCTCAGCCATTTCATTATCATTTAGTTGCAATAATTTAGAGCGATCTTCATCTTCTAATTCCATTATGTCAAATACAGTTTCAATACCCTTTAAGTTTAAGAATATTGTATCAATGTGTTAGTAGTTATTTCGTAGAGTTAAGAAAATAATAGATATATTAGATATAACAATTTAATTTTAAACATTACTTTTAAAAGTTGAAACTTAATTAATTGTAAGATGATCATAGTTATTAGTAATAAATAATTTTATTATTTTTAAACATCATCTAATTGTTTTCAGTTTATATGTTAACAATAACTTTGTATTCATTATGAACTATTAATTTTTTTGTATTAATTTTTTTGTATTGAGTTTTGTCCGTTAATTATAAATAAATTTATTTAGTATCATAACATAAATAAATAACAAAGTTTGATATTTTGCTCACAGAACCAAAAGGATTAGATATAAACTAACATGATAACATAAATTAATGTACAGATATAAGAATGGAAAATTTTTTTAAATTCGCTTCCTATGATACAAGGCTCTACAATCTTTTTTTAACCATAGCTGTAGTAATTTTTTAAAAATGGATTATCCATATTTATTCCTAGTCATTTATTTAAACAAAAAAAGATGCAAAATACTTGAAAAATAAAATTGAAAACTTGATTTACTAGCATAATAAAAAACTGATTTTGACAATTTAAATACAACTTGGCCATTTTATTTTAAAATATCTATCAAATTAATTATATGTACCGTTAAGCATTAAGAATTTATATGAAAATATCAGCTACATTTCTTTTTAATTATAATTCATATTCAATTTTGATATTGAAAAATACTAACTTTTTCGGTACATCTCTTAATTATATCTGAAGTAAAATGAGGTAATTGTTTAAGATATGAATCTTTTGCCCACATTGCTTGAGTAATCATTTGTGCCAACTCCATAGCTGCGACAGCAGGTGATAACCAACCATTAGAACTTAACACATCAACACAAGCTTGAATTAAACGTATGGCCTAAAATTTATTTCAAAAACTTAGTAACATGGAACAGTAGAAATTTTTAAAAAAAAATTTTTTAAAATAACTTTTGCTAAAATGACTTCAGTATCTCCTTGAAGTTCAGCACCAAGTTGTAACCGTGATAAATGAGCTTGAAGAAGTAAATTGACTTTTACATGAGGATCATTATAGCGAACCGAAGTTTGTCCAGATGAGGGTTGCAGTTTATTAGGCAAACGTTGTGCAAGACTTTTTAATAGGGTATCTTCACGGTGCCTAACAGGAATTTTTTCATATTCAGCAGCAGAACTAATAATTTCTAATAAGCCGCGAATTTTAGTTTTATTATTTAAGGACAATGAAAACAATTCTAAAAAAAATAAAATTACACAATAATATTTAAAAAACATAGATTTTATCATTTTAAATTTTAATTACCAATAGTTGTGTAGTTTATATAATAATAAGCTGCAATCATACCCAAATTCAATGGTATACAATCTATTTCATCTTCAACACTAATGCACTTTAAAATTAAAATTACAGATTAGTCTTGTATGTATATATAAATATAATGAGAACGCAAGTTTTATTTTATTTTTTAAAAATAACAATGTCAACAAATAAAATATATTTAAGGTTTTATAAAATTTACAATATCCCCCTTCTATAATGAATACTCTATTGCCATAAAAATATATGCTAGCTGTAGAAAACTTACAAATTATTATTATTATTTAATTATTTATTTTTGAGTCTATTAGTGTTACTTCTTTACTTTGATAAGTTAATTATTGAATGATCAGAATTTAAACTTTGTGATATTGTAAAATAAATTTTTTTAATAAGTGAATCTGTTTTATTTGATATAATAATTAAAAATATAGTAATAATTATTTTATGTACAAACAAGACAAGTCAACAAATGCAACTATAACAAAAATATATGCACATATGAATGCTTTAACAGTCGATACTATAATCTAATCAATAATCTTAATACTATTTACCATAATAATTACTTTTTAACTAAGATTAGCTATATACACCATACTATTTTAATAAACCTTTATATTGCTTTAATATATAAATTAATATATTAATGGTGACTTAACACATTTTTCATCTTAATAATAAAATTGTATAAAACAATTTCGGTATTAAAAAATTGATTTATGTTTAGCCTTGTCTTTATTAAACAGAATATTAAATTTTATATAAAATTTACCTTCGACTGATATAAATCATTAAGTGTTGTTTCAACTAGCTCTGACAAATAGTCTGACAAATGTCTATGAGATACACCTTGTAAATTATAATAATTTGGATTCTGGGTAAGTCTTCTGTATAGAAATGTCCAGGTCATATAATCTACAGCATCCTGTTTATTTTCAATAGTTTTAGTAACAATTTCTGCATTGAAATGATCATGAAGTCTATGATCTAGATGACTCTATAATTGATTAATAATAATTTTAACAAAAATGAATCAAAAATAAATAAAATTAATTATACTTCAACAGGTAATGGCTCATTCAAAAATTTTTTAAAAAAATCTTTTTTTGATGATTGACACATTAAAACACATTTTGAATCATCATCATCCAGTGGTCTATTAGCTCTACCTACCATTTGAATGGCATCAGTTATAGGATAATCTTCATATCTAAAAAATATTTCATAAAGCCATTATTGATAGATTAAATAAATATTTTTTAATTTTAAATAAAAAGTATTTAATTTTAATTTTTGAAAATTTTAATATTGAAAGTTCTTTTTTTTACTCAACATCCATAATTAAAAGAAAGCACAGACGTCTTTTGCTTACACCTCATAAGACACAGCAATGCAAAGCAACAGAATTTAATACATTATTATTATTATATAGTCTAAGACATTTTAAATCACATTATTTGGGTTGGGAAGTTAAAAATTAAAATATAGTTTTTTATTAATATATTTGATCATTATATAACTAACGTATGGGTTTTTCCATCATAGAATTGAGTATCCATGATTATAACTAAATGAGAAGTAATGCTTAAAGCCCAGCATAAACTTCTTGTAACAACTACAACTTGAATCGCTCCAGTGAAGAAAAGTTGTTGAACCCAACGTTGATCTTGAACACTAACTCCTTCATGTAAATATGCAACACCTTGCAATAATGTTTCTTTTAAAGTCTACAATATAATATAGAATAGTAATTTTTTATAAATAATTTATACATTAATTTTTAAAATTACTTTATCTGTAATTTTTTCAACAAATGGTTTTATATCATCTTCTTCAGCATGTATAAAACGATTAGGTTGATTATCAGCTGCAGTATAGGTTAATAATTCTATAGCGGTAAGTCGAGCTTGTTTTCTTGATGGAACGAAAATAATAACCGGTTTCTCTATGCTATACTTCAAAATAGCATTGTAAGTTGGTTTACCCATAGCTACTAACCTAGTAGCATTATGTGTAATGTTATATCCCTAACAAATAATTTAAAAATTATTTGATATAAAACATAAATAATAATAATAATATGCTATTAAAAAATGAACAAAAATAGTTCAATATACAATGATACTACCACTTTTAATTAACTTAATTTTTTTTAGGACAATGTTTTAGGATAAAATAAAAATTTTAAAAACTCAGATTATTTTTCAGGAAAATCCAGTCAAATCTAAACAACTTTATTGATAAGATCATAAAAAATAAAATTTATATAAAACTAGCAGTTATTGATGAATGTCCTATACTCAGACATTTTTTTTATAAATTATATGAATTAAGGACTTGCATTTATTACACTTTCTTTTTAGTTTTATAATATATTAAAAATATATATTACTTGCACATGAAGTTCTAAAGGAACAGGTCTAACACTAGGGTGGAAGTTGAATGTAGTTGTGGCTGGAGCACCTAACCATAAAGCCACATCCCTGGCATCAGTAAGTGGTGCTGAAAGAGCAACTACCCTCATTTGCTTTTCTGTTTGTGAGGCAATGTACCGCATTCTAGAACACACAACTTCTAAAACTGGACCATCTTCACCACCAATTAACTAAAAAGTAAATTTAATTTCAATACAGAAGAAAATATGACAAATTAAAAATTTCACTTCTAAAAATAATTTAAAAAAAAGTTTAATATATATGATTTTGTAGCCTTTTAGATAAACAAAATAATTTTTTTATAAGTGTTATCATAAATTATATTAATATTGTATAACTCTTAATCAAATTTATATTGCACTTGAAAAGGAACATTCACCAATACTCTCTTCACCATTATTTCAGAGCTAATAAATTGTAGTGTCAAAAAGTGTAATTTTAAATGTTATTTTAAGTGTTTCAAAGTACTGATTTTAGAGCTTCAATAAAAAAAAACTATACATATGTTATAATGTAATTTAAATATAACTTATAGTTTGGAAAATAATGCTCATAATAATTTGATATTGTGTGACCTCTCACTCACTGATTTTATTTAGCTACTCAGGCATAAAATTAGAATCACTATTACTCTTTAAATTGTATGCTATTTTTTTTTAATTGTTACCTAGTATTGATTTTTATCATGATCTATTAGCTATGTTAAAGAATAAGTTACTCTGTACTTAAAGTTTTGTCATAAGTTTTAAATTTTCAAATTGTATTGTTTATATAAATTATTTCTACCTATTTTATAATAATATATATTTTCACTACTGTTTGGTTTTTTGGGTGTTACTTTATCGATAAATATGCACTAAAAAAATTAAAAAACTGAAAAATTATTGAAATTAAAATTTTTTTTATAATATTTTCCTGTGGAAAAAGGATAAGAATACTTCCACGGTCATTCTACCAGTTGTAAGAAGCAACTAATGAGATTGCGTCAAGTCAGTTATGTATACAGGCCTACCCAACGCTTGTAGTGTTAACAGTGTAAGGACATCATCACTCAACTTTAGACAGGACTTGTGTATAGGTGAGAAAAATAGATACAAAGTAAAAATAGGCATGTGAAATGTTGGAACATTAACTGGTAGAAGTAGAGAATTAGTAGAAGTATTAAAGATGAGAAAAGTTAATATTTGTTTGTTGAGAAAAAGTAAGGAAAATAGGTGAGGGTTATAAAATAATACACTCAGGTAAACCAATACATAAAATTGTGTAGGTATAATAATGGATGAGAAGATGAACGTAAAGTAGTAGAAGCAGTTAGGAAAAGTGACAGAATTAACAGGTTTATCTATAACAGTTTTTTAACAATACTAAAGATAAAACAAAAATTTAAAAAAATTATTTAAACCTTTAAGTGTGGGTGGTTGCAATGGAGAGAAGCGTCTGATGTCTTATGCGATAAAAGAATTTCAATGAGGATGAAAGGTAAATTCTACAAGACTGTAATAAGGCCAGCTATGATGTATGGTTCAGAGTGTTGGGCGGTTGATAAGAAAATAGAGCAGAGAATGAGTGTAGCAGAGATGAGAATGCTTAGATAGATGAGTGGAGTGACTAGAAAAGATAAAATAAGGAACGAGCATATAAGAGGGAGTATAAGTATAGCGTCCATCATAGATAAGATGAGAGAAAATAGACTTAGATGGTTTGGTCATGTTATGTGGAGAGAAGAATCGGAAGCTGTAAGAACAGTTATAGAAATGAATGTTGAAGGAAGAAAAGGTAAAGGAAGACCAAAAAAAAGATGGAGGGATGCTATTGAATGTGATTTGAGGACAGCTGATGTAAGTGTAGCTGATGTGAGCGTAGATGATGTGGGAGATTGTGTCAAGTGGAAGTTTAGGAAAAGGGTGGCAGACTCCAAGTAGTTGGGATTAAGGCAAGGAAGAAGAAGAAGATTTAAACCTCTAACAGTTTAACTTAAAATTATAATGAATGAAACACAATAACTAAAAACTATTTAGTATACCTATGACTAAAATTTGTTTAAGGGACTTTAAAGAGATGAGAGTTTATGAAAATTTTGGCTTTAGGGAAAGTAAATTCCCTAAGTTTTTCCACAATTATAATTGTATAATATAACTTATTAGTAAGGTTTTTATTATATTTATATAAATGTATTAAATTAAATGTAATTTAATAATTTAATGTATTAAATAAACAATGTACTGACTAGTGATATATTCAGAATAGCTTAACAAAAATTATAAAAGCATATAAATCCATTATTAATAAAATATGAGTACATTCACTTTTATCTTACTCTTAATTTTATAAATACTTAATGTAACCTGATAAATATGATCAATGCCACCAGTTTCTATCACTTTTAAATATAAAAAAATGTGACTAACAAGTACGGAATTCTAAAAATTCTTTAAAAATTAAAACTCTAGTAATATTTTGATTAAGAAAAATTGAAATACCTTATTCGCTTAGATTTTTTTACTTGTATTAATTAATAAAGATTAAATTTACTTGAAGTTCGTCCACAATAAAAAGACTTATATTCTGAACGTTTTTTCTTTGTTTCCATCTTCGAGATAGTACATCCCACTTTTCTGCTGTTGTCACAATAATTTGACCTTTAGCTAGCAGCTATAATAGAGTAAGAAATTAAAAATTATCCAAAATGTTAATAGTAAAGCCAACTGACCTTTAAGTCTGTACCAATTTCTCCTGTCAGTAATACAACTTTCCTTGCAAGGCCAATACCAAATATAACATGCCAGCTAGAATAAATCAGTTCAGCCTGAGACTCTTTGGCAACTAAGTATACACATCTACTTTCAGGATTCTGGCTTAAAAGACGATAAAGTGCAAATTCTGCAATCGCAGTTTTTCCTGATCCAGTTGGTGCACCAATGAACACATTTTCATCACTGTTATATACAGCATTAAATACTTGAGTTTGAATTGGATTAAATTGATGAAATCTCTCAGCGTAAAGTTCTTCAAATACTTTATTGCGCAATGCGGACACCTGAAATTATTTAAAAATAAAATAATTTGATTCTTATGTTTATAAATCTATTAAATTTTACTGGAAGTGGTTGCAAATCTAAAAGCTCAGTAGGAGGGACATTTTTTTCTGGCAATAACAAATGTCTAAAAGATACTGGTAATTGAGTTTCTGAACCAATCCAACGATCGGAAACAATCCTGCAATAGATCTCACGGTTAAGTTTTGGTGTGTAATTAAAAATTTCTTGTACTCTAAGATGATTACCTCAAAAAGTATTGTGGAGGTAAAGGTTCAAAAACAGGGACAAAAAATTTAAGTAAATGTTCATCAGTAGCATATTTTGATTTCAGCAAGAAAAACTCATGGTGTAAAATAACTTCTGAATCAACATCTTCAACTAACACCCAAAAAGCTTCAGAATTACCATGCAATTTTTCATCCCATTGAAAATCAGGAGTTATGGTTAATTCAACTCTCAATGTAGACCTTAAATTTTGTCAAATTTACAAACTATAACTTAAAAAATGTATCTTATTTACTGTTTAAATAAATACCGAGTAACTGGTTGTATATGTGTTGCTAATTCAAGTTTTGGAAATTGATGAACATATCTATGAATAGTTTTTCCAAGTTTAGGAACACGAATCAATTCACCTATTTCACTTGGCCCAAGATCATACAAACGTTCCCAAGGAAAATTTTTCTTTTCAATTTTTCTAACAATTTCTTCAGGCATTTTTCTAAACTGTCTCAAAGGTGACATACTTTGCCACATTCTTCTATCAATCATTTTACAAAGACTCAGAGCTTTATCTGCTAGTTGAGCCCATCCACGATGCAAAACAATTTCAAAAATAGCACGCATTAATCGTGCAGCTGATTGAGTAACAAACACCATGTCAGACATCAATGCAAAACCTTCAAGTTTTAATTGAGATATATATGCTTGAAGTAAAATATTTATCTGTAAATAATAATAAAAATAAAGATAATTATAATCAAAAGATTTGGTATCAATAAACAGTCTACTTTAGCACTAGGTTCTTCAATGCCTTCTTTAATCGGAATAGGAACACGTTCCATTAATTTTTGTAATTCAAGTTTTTCTTCATCTCTAACTCCAATGTGGCGAAATTCACCTGATAAAGAAAATACTCTAAACAATTCAATTTCACTTAATGTTGGTTTTAATAGTTGATTATATGTAGCCATCGTGTCATGAGTACAGTAATAATGACTAGCAATTCGCCCAAGTTCAGTAACCTAAAAATATATTACTATATAGTATTAATCATAACTATTTCTATTAAATTTTAGCTTGGTATAAAATAAAACAATTACAGTAAATTAATTATTTACAAAAATTAAAATCAAACCTGAAAATATCCTGTCTTCCTATCATATTTTATTAAATTGCTTCTTTCTAAATGTATTGCAGCAGTATGAATAATATCTGCCCTATATCCTTCTAATAATGGATCAATTTCTAATTTTTCTTGAGTTATTGCATACAAAGATGGAGCACGTAACATTCGTATATACAAATATGTATACCCTAACCAAGTAACAGCTTCTTTTACGCTTTGTATTGTGCCTAATAATATAAAATATTTTTAAATTGCTTTCAATAAAAATTAAAATAATTAAATATTAAAAAAATTACCAAGTACAATTTCAGCATTTAACATATCTGGCAATTTAGAAACTAGTTGTGATTCTATAGGTAATTGTTGATTTAAAAGTGACAAATAGTATTGCAATTCACTATGATTAGTAATTAGTATACCTTCTCCTTTAGTATCATATTGTGGACGTCCTGCACGACCTAACATCTAAAAAATGAGATAAAATCTAAAAAAATTCTAACTAAAATAATATAAATTTTAACATTATCATGATACCAAAAAATGTAGAATACTATAGACTGGTAGTTGGCCACACAAATAGTCAATAAATTAATAAAAACAAAGTAAATTTTTTTAAATTTGTAGTTGAAACCTATTATTATATCAAACTTAATTTTACAATAAATACTTTAGAAACATTAGAAATGAATAATTGTCTATAAGGAGAATGGGTTCTAGGTAACTTTTAATTTATAGGGGGGGAATTATTTTCAATTTTTAAAGGTAATATTTTTAACGAGTTACAAATTATAATTATTTGACATATCTTTGAAAAAAAATTGTCAAATAAGAACTGAAAAAATTAATAACAAACAAAAACCATAAAGTAAAATAATTTTAATATGAATAAGAAATTATTTTTTACAAAGGGAGATTACATTGATCTTCATTGAATTTATACAATCTAAATAAGAAAAATTTTTTTAAAATGTTGAATTTTTTTTTCTATATTAAAAAAAAATTAAGAAAAAAAGTGCAAAAAGAGTAATCATGGCGTACGGCGTTTGAATCTCATATCCCAAGCGTGAAAGACTCTAATTTTACTGACGGGGTAAACATACTTTGCATTTGTAGGTTAATAAAATGAACAATTTAAACTAGTTCAAAATTTAAAGTTGGTTTTAAACAAATTTAACCTTATATTATGTCAGTTAGATTCATAAAATTTTAATAAAATTCAGTAACCTAATTACTATATCCTCCCCTTGTGAAGTATTTTCAAATAAAAAATTGCATAGTTGTAAGTTTTTAAAAATGTGTTAACAGTGTTTAGTTGAAATTAAGGAAAATATGTGCATAAAAAGAATTTTATAATGATTTTTTTTTTTAATGTCCTAGAATATTTTTATTATAACTTTGAGAAAAACGTAATAAATTAAAAAAGCATACAAAATATTTACATTACAAAAAACCAGTGCGTGTTACGAGTACGCGCAAATGAAGTAAAACTTCTTTTGTTATAAGGATATTGCATGAAAATTGCATCTGTTATGGTTCTTTAAAATTTTTTAATGCAAATCAAAATTATTTGAAATTAAATCTTATTACATAATAGAACAAGGAAAAAAAACATTTTTCTGGAAAAATTACTTAGCGTGTTCATATTTTCAAAATTTTTTTTCAACAAAATCTCGGTCACCAGACTCCGGGAAAATTATAGGCGAAGGTCAGGAAATGTATGCTGTTCGCCCATAAGTATTAAAATTTCGACAGTTCTCGAGAAAAACGGTCGCTGACACCTGCGTTTTACGACTCAAGGTTTGAAATTTTCATCACCCGCCCAATCATATTCTAGAGATATGATAAAAAAAAAAAACAATTCAATCCGTTCATTTTTCATAGTTTTACACACTTTTTTTTTAGTCCATGCGCATGGTTTTAATATGGGCATTGACTCATTTCTGCGCATTCATTTATTCTGAACCTTAATTTGTATAATAAGTATTTTTATTAGGACACTATTTTGCATTTGCGCATAGCACTGTATTTTATATATATTATCAAGGAATGTTATATGTTATATATAAATTTCAAGACGGTTATAATAATATAAGTAATACATTCAATGTTGCTTGAAGTGCTTGAGGATATATCCATGTTTGCAATGGAGTTCTGACGTTTCCGACTCATTGCAGAGTCCATCTTCAGAGTGCCGATTGCTAGTCGGTGGTAGTGATGGGCATAATCGAGATATATAATCGAGATATCTCGATTATGAAAATAATCGAGATATTTCGATTATTGAAATCATATCTATTATATAATCGAGATATTCTGATTTTTTAAATAATATTGATTATTCTATAATCGAGTGATTATTTCTAATGATTTCTCGTTTATTATAAAAACAATGATTTCTTGATCTTGAAATGTATATAATCGAATAAAAGTTATTTCGAATGATGTCCATGAAACGATGAAACGAGAGAATACTATTTTTAAGTTTTTATTTAGCATAAATTATAGTCGAATTATTATTAAATTGTTGACTTCGAGTCTTCTTATTTTCAACTCGTTCAATCGCTACTCATGACAACACCTTATCTGTCACATTTTTGGGAAGTATGTGACGATTAGAACAAAGTTTTGTCCTGAACTGGCTAAACTACTGAGTTCTGATTCTCTCACTAGTTGTGAATTTATGAAAAATCAATTAGGTGTGGAATCAGGTGTTTTAATTATGATGGTCAAGCCGGCTATTGCTACCTTATCTTATGTTTTTATTTTTAAATTTGTTATCGGTTTTTTTAAAATATAGGTAATAATTATTAAATAATAAAAATAACAACTTGTCTTTTATTTAAAGCACTTATTAATAATGCATTATTAATATATTATTGTTATTATTATTCCTAAATTATAGTTTAATATAATAATTATAAATAAACACCAACAAATAAAAAAAGCAAAATTAAATTAATAATTATTTACTATAGGTATATTTATTCATATTTCGAATAATTTTTCGATTTTCTCAATAAATAATAATAGTTGATTATTCTTATCATACGAGCAGACGATTTTAACTTCGAGTGATTTTTCGAGAGATTCACTCGATTATGAAAATGTCTCGATTACTAATCATTCGATTATCGAAATCATTCGATTATGCCCATCACTAGTCGGTGGCTGCAACTATACAGGCGGCTTATCTTGATAACGGTCTGCTTTTATAAAATTGATAACATCTGATTTTTGACTAACGTTGTTTGCCGTATCAGGGTTTTTGACTAACGTTGTTTACCGTATCTGGGTTTTTGACTAATGTTGTTGACAACATTTTGATTTTAGACTAACGTTGTTTACGGCATTCTTGACATTTCGGTCTTCCTTTCCTACACCGGCAATTATTTGTTATGTTGATTGTAGCCTCTTCGTATATTGAATTATTTTCGGTGTTGTTGGTTGATTTCCTTTTTGTCTGGTGTATGATTGGTAACCAATTTTTGCTGATTTTCCATCCATCTTCTCTGTTGAAATTTTCCGGACATTTTTCGATTTCTATTGCTTCCTTGTACATGCGTTTGCCAAAATGAATTTATTTGTTTAGTATTTTTACTTTATTGAATTGTATGTCATGTCCTCTGTTTTTGGCATGTTCAGCTACTGCAGATTTGTCTGTTCTTTGGTACTCCACGTCTTTTTCATGTTCTTTTATTCTTGTCGCAATAGCTCTTCCTGTTTGTCCAATGTAAGATTTACCACATGAACACGGTATTTCATATACTCATGGTGTTTGCATCTCTGGCAGTTTATCTTTCGGAGTAGTGATCCTGCAACTGTGTTTGATTTGAAGACGGTTCTTAATTTGAATTTTTGTACGATCCTTGATATGCGGTCGATAATTCCCTGTATGTACGGCAGTATTAATGTACCTTTCTTTTCATCTTCATTGTTTTAGTCATCCATAATAAGCGTTGCATTTTTTCTTTTCTCTGCTTTTTTAATTCCCTTATTAATGTTTTTAATTGTGTACCCATTATTCTTTAGTGCTTGTCGTAAGTATGTTTTTTCCTCATTCACATAGTCTTCATCAGCTATTCTGACAGCTCTTGTTGCCATTGTGTGTAATAATCCCATTTTCTGTGAGGGGCAATGGTGTGAATCAGCATGTAAATATCTATCTGTATGTGTACTTTTTCTATACACTACTGTGCCGAATTTCCCATTAGGCTGTTTTTTTACCAATACAATTACAATTAAATTGTACTACAATTTATGTAGTACAATGTAGTAATTCTAAATTACTACAATAAGCACTTCAAGCAACAAGACAATCCATGAAAGCTTTAACACATTCAAATACATTCACTATCAGAACAGTACATTATTAATAATCTTTTTTTTCTCATATATGATGTATGATTTTATCGTTTAAATTGGGATTCATCTATGACAACTATGATGTCCAACGTTAATTCGCAGTTACCAAAATTTTTATCAATATTAAATTTTTTACATAGTCCCTCGTAACCTACTGAATTTTTTTGTAATTATTCTATAATATAAACACAATTATTATAATTAGAATATTAATAATTTTTGTGTATACCAGGGGTGTATTTAAGGGAGATTTAAGAGCCCCCCTTGAACCAGCGCTAACAATATTTTTTTAGGCAACTTCTAATAAATAAGGACCTAATGTCCATTTTTTCATCATTACTTTAATTTTTAGTAAAAAAAATTCTATAACATATTTAACAAAGTAAAAAATATTAAATACCCTCCTAAAATAATTTTTGAATAGGCCTAAAAGGAATACCTCCTTAACAAACGTCAACCTTATACCCAATACATTTTACTATATTCTCTTTTTGAATTTTCCTGATTTTAATAATTACATTTTTAATATTTTTTTGTTACACTGATTCTAATAATATATCAGATATTTTTTCTACAAAACACTTATCGTACCCGGCATGCCGGGTGTACTTCTACCGTAATTAGTAGCCTACTGACAATGACGGCCCGAAGAGGCTTACATGACGAAGACGTGTAAGGATCAAAGTGCCCTAGGTTTGGGGCGGAGCTCTAGCTAGGCAAAGCCTAATAATTTAATATATTTTAAATAACATTACTTTAATTTTTGAAAATATAGTGCTAAATTATAACATAATATATACTTCACAACCGACCGTGGACGATAGTTATGCCAACTGTAACAGCGAAACGTTACAGCCGACCATGACGCTCGATAATCTGTTTTTTTTTTTTTTGGACTCTTTATAAAGAAGTTTCATTTCAATAATTCTTTAAAGAATTATAGAAGGTAATCAAAATCAATATTTTTGAATAAAAAATTAAGGGGAAATAGTCCCCTATCAAAATTTGCCAATACAGTATATACTAATTTTTTAAAAACCCTTTTAAATAAGTTCTTGTAAAATTTTTCAATTTTTGCACAAAAATTGTACTTTTTTCAATTACTTTGATTTCTGTTTTCACCACTATGACAATCCAAATTTCAATCATTTATTTTATAATTAAAATATATTACAGCTTTAAGATATAAAGCTTGATTTTTTTATCATAACCTACCCAATTACTAACAGAATAAAAATAATTTTATAATTTTTTTTTAGCTTCATTGCAAAGTTGAGAAGGTATTAATTTTACTATGATAAATAAAACAAAACCCAGTACAGGGGGGTCGCGGCACACTGGTGACGTGGCATAGTTGGATCAAGTATAATGATATCTGACAGTGATTAAAATCACTATCAAAAATAAACACTTCAATGCAATTCTTTATATTTAATTAATTAATAGATTTAATCTTTAGTATTTAATTTAAAAAAAATTGGTGTATTATTCCAAAAGCTACATGATCTGCTAGTTCCTTATTAATATCTTGATTAAGATAAAGTATGTCGAATGAAAAAGGGATTATTATAAAATATTATTTCTCATAAAAAAATTGTAATGATCCATACATTTTTCAAAAAGTTATAGCATAATAAAGTTAAAAATGTAAAATACAAAATCGAAAATTTTCACACAAAAATAGCATTTGGTAGCCATTTTCATCCTGAAGATAAAATAAAGTCCGAAATTTTTTTTTTCACGATAAAGTATATTACATTAGCTTTAATTTAAGATATATATAAAAGTGTCAGACCTTCCGGAACACTTTCAAAAGTTAAGTTGAAAAAAATTAATTTTTTGTAAAAAAGTTGTCATTTTAAATCCCCCCCTATGGGCAGGTAAAGGGTCAGATATGAAAAAAATATATACCAAATGAAAGGTAATGACATCATGCATCTATAAAAAAAAGAATTATATTGATATGTTTATTTTTAAAAAAAAAAACCGTTTGGTGAGAGCTGAGAAAAAGTGGTAACAGTTACGGTAGTTTTTAGTAAAAAATTTGTAGAAAATTAGCGATTTTTAAATTTGTAATTTTTTTGGAGGTTTCCCCCATTTACGGGGAACGAGGGAATTTTTTCAATTTTTGAGGGTAATGTCTTCGACTAGATACGATTTGTGATCTTTTGACTTATCATTGAAAGAAATAAGCTAAAATAAGGGCAATAATTAAATTTTCAATTTTAGCTTCGATGCGAAGCTGAGTAGGTATTGGTTTTACTAAGATGTGTTTATTTTTTTTTTTTTTGTGTCTGTTACCACTTTTTCTCAGCTCTCACCGAACCGATTTTTTTCAATGAAACCGAATTTGAAAAATCCCTCGTTCCTCGTAAATGGGGGAAACCTCCAAAAAATTACAAATTTAAAAATCGCTAATTTTTTCAATTTTTTTTACTTAAAATTGTCGTAAGTTTTTTAAAAATAAACATATCAATATAATTCTTTTTTTTATAGATGCATGATGTCATTACCTTTCATTTGGTATATATTTTTTTCATATCTGACCCTTTACCTGCCCATAGGGGGGGATTTAAAATGACAACTTTTTTACAAAAAATTAATTTTTTCAACTTAACTTTTGAAAGTGTTCCGGAAGGTCTGACACTTTTATATATATCTTAAATTAAAGCTAATGTAATATACTTTATCGTGAAGAAAAAAAATTTCGGACTTTATTTTATCTTCAGGGTGAAAATGGCTACCGAATGCTATTTTTGTGTGAAAATTTTCGATTTTGTATTTTACATTTTTAACTTTATTATGCTATAACTTTTTGAAAAATGTATGGATCATTACAATTTTTTTATGAGAAATAATATTTATAAACATCTTTCATTCGACATACTTTTTTTTTTAAATCGGATCATTTCCCTTAATACAGGGGGGATTCAAAACATAAAAATGCATATAGAAAGTAGAACTTTTTCAACTTGACTTTTGAAAATGTTCCGGAAAGTCTGACACTTTTATATATATTTTAAATTAAAGATAATGTAATGTACTTTATTTAAGCCAATTGAAATTAAAGCAAGAAAAAAGGATCAAAATTAATCTAGAGTTACTCAAAGATGAAATCGTGAGGAAGAATTATGAGAACGAAGTCACGAAGAACTTTAAAGAAAATAATGCACAAATGAACATAACAAAGCAATGAACAAAGCAGCGGCCACTAGTATTGGTGAGCTAAAAAGGTCAAGAAATACTTGGTATAATGATATTTGTAGAGTTGCTGTAGACAGACGCAGAAAATCGAGAAATGAATTTATTAAAAACAACACTCAAATGACTAAAGAAAGTTTCATACGGGAACGTAAAGCCTGCAAAAGCACCCTTCAAAGGGAAAAAAGGAAATTTTTTAGCAACATACTTCAAACAGCAGAGAACGACCATACACAAGGGAGAACTAGAAACTTTTTAGAGTCATTAAACAGTATAAGCATTTTAACCCTATATGGAATGCAATCAGAGACCAAGACGGACAAATGCTAATGGAACCAGAATCAAGAGCTGAGAGATGGAAAGGTTATTTTGAAAATTTACTAAATGGGAGAATGCCAGATCAGCCTGTAGCTCATATCGATTATGAAAGAGCGGAGCCCTATGTCGAGGATGTTAGCCTAGAAGAAGTAAAAAGTGTATTATTTGGCCTGAAAAATTGGAAAGCACCGGGTACCGATAATATTCCAGCAGAACTCTTAAAATACGGAGGTGAGGAGCTACATTTAGTAATCCACAGACTGTGTCACCTAATATGGATGGAAGAACGAGTACCGGATAGCTGGAATGAGGCAATCATCATACCATTGCATAAAAAAGGAGACAAGACAAAGTGTGACAATTATAGAGGGATATCGCTCTTAAACTCCGCGTACAAGGTCTTCTCTAGGATATTACTGAATCGCATTATCCCTTATGCAGAGGATTGCCTAGGTGAGTACCAATGTGGTTTTCGGAAAGGTCGTTCAACCACAGAATAATTATCCATAATAGGTCAAATAATTGAAAAGAGATACGAATATCGGCAGAATACGTGGCAACTCTTCATAGATTTTAAAAAGGCCTATGATAGTATATACAGAGAGAGTCTCTACAATATTATGGATGAGTTTGGTTTCCCAAAAAAGTTAATAGCGCTAACTAAAATGTGCATAGAAGACACGAGGTACAGAGTAAGAACACAGAATGTAACATCGGAAACCTTTACAGTGGAAACCGGACTAAAACAGGGGGATGCTCTTTCCCCAGTACTTTTCAATCTTGCCCTAGAGAAGGTAGTAAGATTACTACAGGACAATGAAGGTGGTTTACTAATCGGCCAGAATAAGATACGGCTCCTCGGATTCGCTGACGATTTGGATATACTTGGCGATTCACTTGCAGACACAGCTAACGCTGCTAGAGTGCTAGAAAAAGCAGCGAAGAAAATTGGTCTTGAAATAAATACTGAGAAAACGAAGATAATGGAACTATTAGATAGTGGGGAGGACCCCAGTGAGATGGAGAATTTAGCATACGAAAAAGTTAGCGATTTTAAATATCTGGGAGCAACGTTAAGTACAAAGAATGATTGGTCAAAAGAAATAAGTATTCGGATAAATAAAGCCCAAAAAACGTTCTACACAATGATTAAATTCTTTACATCCAAAATTCTATCTAAAAAAACGAAAGCAAGATTGTACACGGCTATTATAAGACCGACTCTCACGTATGGTTACGAAGCGTGGACAACGACCAAACAAACAGAAAGAAACCTGAGGACTTTTGAGCACAAAGTGTGGAGGAAAATATGCAGACCGGTCATCGATGAAACAACGGGAAGTTGGCGGAGAAGGTACAACAGTGAACTATATGACATGTTGGAAATAGCACCGGTAACAAGTTTTATTAAGGGCCAAAGAATACAATGGTTAGGACACATAGCGAGAAGAAGAGAGAACGAGATAGCCAGGGTAGCATTGGAATGGAAACCACAAGGGAAAAGACCTAGAGGGAGGCCGAAGAAAAGATGGATCGACGTGGTAGAAGAAGATTTAAGAATCCTTGGAGTTGAAGACTGGAGAGAGACAGCCCAAGATAGAGATAAGTAAACGTAGTAATGGCGGCAAAAACTCTTAGAGACTAGGAATGCCAGTAAAAGAAGAAAAATGTACTTTATTATGGAAAAAAAAATTCCGGCTTTATTTTGTCTTCATGGTGAAAATGGCTACGGAATGCTATTTTTGTGTGAAAATTCTCAATTTTATTTTTTTCATTTTTAACTTTATAATACTATAACATATTGAAAAGTGTATGGATCAACATAATTTTTTTATGAGAAATAATATATTTTAATAATCCCTTTTTTATTCGGCATACTTTATCTTAATCAGGATATTAATAAGGAACTAACAGACCATGTAGCTTTTGGAATAATCCACCAATTTTTTTAAAATTAAACACTATCTAAAGATATGCATCGAAGCGTTTTTTCTTTAGTGATTTTAATCACTATCAGATATCATTATACTTGATCCAACTATGCCACGTCACCACTGTGCCGCGACCCCCCTGGTGCTGGGTTTTTTTTATAAGTGTATCCAATATTTTTAAAACAATTTTAGTGAAGAAATATGGAAAATGCTTAGAAAATTTTTAATACTTTAGTAAATTTAAAAGAATTAAATCTAAAATCTTTTTTATTTTAACGACTGAATAATTTAAATTATGGAAATATGCATTAATTTTTTTAAATATTTAAAGAAAGGAAGTAGCCAATTTTAAACAACATAACTATTTCTTCCATATTTATTCAGTAATGTAAGGTGAAATTTAAAATTCTGTATGAAAATTACTTGTAGAACATCTAATGCACCAAGTTCAACCCAACGTCCTTTTTCAGGACTATAAACTTGAGTTCCTTTTATAATGACAGTGTGTGCTGGTAAATTTACACCCCAAGCTAATGTTGCAGTAGAAATAAGAACTTGAATGTGACGATCAGCAAAAAGGTCTTCAACTAGTGTTCTGTCAACTCGAGTCATTCCTGCATGATGAATGGCAAATCCATAAGGCAATAAGTCCCTCAATTCACTATTCTGAAGTTTAAAAATTAAATAAAATCAAAGTAAAACTGTTTAATTAAACCAAATATTTACTTTAACTTGTTCAGCTTCTGTACGTAATACTTCCATTGAAGCAGAACCTTCGCGTAGAAAATTGCCAAGTGTATCTTTTTCTAAACACATATCTCTTATAGCTCTAGCAGTCTTGCCTAAAATAAAATAAATTACCACTGAATACTACATTAATTTAACCAGCCAAATAACCTGTTTCCTTTCTTGAGTGCACAAAAACTAAAATTTGATTGCGCCCTGCATGTTCCATTATTTTTTCATAAACAATTTCATTCATTACTTGAAATCGTTTGACAGCTTTTTTCTCAGTTATACCAATATATTGTTGTTCCAATGGAACTGGTCTAAAAGAGTTGTCAAAGTAAAAAAGACCCTAATGAAAAATTAAAATTGGTTAATTTTAATATAAAATATATAAAAGGAAGTTTGTTTGATTGAAATTATTTTGTAATTTGGGATTCATTTTCACATTTATCCAATATTAATAATTTGAAAAAAAAAAAACTAAATAAAAAGTATGAAACTTCTTCTTTAGTATAATTTTAACTCTTCCCCAACACATTTATAAGTACAGTAATAAGTTATGGAATAAGTGAAAATCTCTTATATCTAAAAAAAATCATAGTATAATCAAATTCTTTCATTTATTACAATAAAAAAACGTTTTTAAAAAAATTGATATGTAGGCCAGTCAACAAAGGAGTAATTTTGACGAAGGGCGGAAAAAATTCCCAACCAAAATTTTTTTTTTTTTAAAGTTGAATTAAGATATGTATAATGACATACTAAAAGTCCTCATCGATTGAACTTGAGCTTTTTTTTTACAGCCTCTCAAAAGTTCAAAAATATGAGCTTTTTTAATTTTCTCAAAAAATATTTAACTTACAAAAAAAAGTTTCGTATAAAAGTTGTTTAATAGACAATTTTAAACAAAAAAGGTATCTTATATTTTTTCATTTAGACAAATATTTTTCGAGTTACATTACATTTAATATGAGTACTAAAATTTATTTTCAATTTTTTTCCATTTTACGATTAATTTATATCATATTATTCTTACATCAGACACAATGGTACAAATGGTTATATGTGTATGTATGAGTTTATTTATTTATAGTATCATTATAGTGTAGTTTATATTAAGATATAACCGATAGTGTAGATAATTGATTTGACGCTAATTACAGACTGAATTTTATCTTAATAAAAGACGTTAGGTTTATCGATAATATACTTGTATAATAATAATTTTTCGTCTTACAGCTGTGAGATAGTAACACGAGCAAATATTTTGTGTTAAAGTAGTTTTGGGTTAAAAACTTTTTATAATTTTTATAATTTTAAAATATGTCTTATATCACTTGCTGTATTTGTGAAAAAACTCGAGGTGACTTTGTCGAAGTATGCAAAAAGGTTTATTGAGTCTTTTAAAAGCTAGTGAAATGCGTGGAGACAATAAATTTAAAAACATTAGTGGCACGTTAATGGCACATATAGAAAGTAGAAAATTATATACATGTAAATGTTCTATTATAAGTGACTTGAAACAAGCAAGTGCTTCTACTTTTACTGATACGACATTACCACCTACACCTACCAAAAATAAAGTACGATCATCTCAGTCTCTTCAACTTAAAAGTAAGTGTTTATTTTGCTTTGAAATTATACCAGACAATTTCTCGGATATTCAAAAAAAGAAGCCTGTAGAGTGTAGAGAAATTGTGTGTACTGTAACTAGTTTAAACGTAGGCCATTCTATTATTACTCAAGCTAAACAACGAAATGATTTATGGGGCAAAGAGGTTGAAAAGCGTTTAGCTAATGTAATTGATCTCGTAGCAGCTGATGGTAGATATCACAAACATTGTTTTGTTAATTTTTTCAAATTATCATCTAGAGTCAATTTAAAAAGAGGTAGACCGCAAAATGAGGACATTAAAATAGTAATGGAAAAAATATATTCCATATTAGAAAATAGCGAGGAATGTCAATTTTCGATTGAAAATGATATATTGCCTTACATTGATGATGATTATGTGCCCGACGTAAAAACTATTCGTGCAAAATTACTTGAAAAATATGGTAAAAATATTATCTTGAGTTCCGCAAATAAAAAAACCACAACTATATGTTTTCGAGGTACATGTCAAAATATATTGATAAAAAATTGANAAACCACAACTATATGTTTTCGAGGTACATATCAAAATATATTGACAAAAAATTGGTATGAAAATCGAAAGTTTAATAAAGAGGAAGAGAGACAAAGAATTGTAGAGGCCGCGGCAGTAATTATTTTAGAAGACATTCGCTCACAAATATATGACACAAGTTCTTACCCAGCACCAAATGAATTTTTAGAAAATGTTGATTGTGTCATTCCAAAAACATTGAATATATTTTTAAATAAAGTAATACTGAGTAATAAGAAAGGTGATAAAACACAAATATCAAAAAAATGTACTGCCATTGCTCATTCTATAATGTCAGGNTACTGCCATTGCTCATGCTATAATGTCAGCGACAAGACCTCGATCATTTCAATCTACTATTCAAATGGGTGTTGGTATATACCTCCATAGAAAATTTGAATCCAAAAATTTAATAAATATTTTATCTAGTCTAGGACTTTGCTCAACTTACCACGATATTATTAAATTTGAATCGTCTTGTTTAGTTTATCCACAAACTAATATTTTTGAAAACTCTTTCAGCCAATTCGTATTTGACAATGCTGATTTTAACTCATGTACTATCGATGGTTTAAATACTATTCATATAATGGGTGGTATATGCTGTTCTACACCAGCAACATCAGTTATTCCTAATGAACCTATACTCCTAGTTAAAAAACTTCCATCTTCAAATGAAATAAGCAAGTATGGTCAAGTACCCATTTTTTATTATGAAAAACAACTTGAAAGTGGATTAAAAAATGTTAAAATTCGNACCCATTTTTTATTATGAAAAACAAGTTGAAAGTGGATTAAAAAATGTTGAAATTCAAGATCTCAACCAATTGGTTACATTTTTAAAAACTACAAAATACCTACAACCTATTGATGTTTTATGGGCCTGTGGAAAATATATAAAAATTAAAAATTTGAGTGGTTGGAATGGCTATATGGAAAATGTGAGTCAAATTTTGCCTATAGACTATTCACTTTCACAAATAACTTTTTTACCATTTGTAAATTTACCAGCTCATAGTTATGATGCAATTTCAACAGTACTCCATTTTGCAGTAAAAAAATCAAATGAAATCAATCAAAAAACTACATTTGTTACTTTTGATTTACCATTGTATATTAAAGCAAAAGATATAGTTCATACTTATCGTAAAGAACTTTCAAACGTCATTGTTCGACTCGGGGGCTTTCATTTACTGATGTCTTTTATGGGCTGCATTGGGTATCTAATGTCAAATAGTGGACTTCAGGAAATGTTAAATACTATATATGCACCAAATTCTGTAGAAAAACTACTATCTGGTCATGCCTATTCGAGATCTATCCGAGCGCATTCATTAACGCATTTAGCTTTGTCAAAACTTATTTTTGAAAGAATTGATCTAACTGAAGATGAGCGAGTTAAAGTTCAAGAGTACTTTAATAATTACTTTGTGGATCCCACAAGTATGGAAAAAATAAATGAAGACATAACTTTTATTTCTATAACTAATAAATTTATAACCGAAGTTAGTTTAATTAAAAATCTTAGTCCAACAGCTGCGTTATGGATACAATATTTTGAAATGGTTACATTAATGAAAAAGTTTATTCAAGCCAAAAGATTAGGCGACTGGTGTCTACATTTAACTTGTTGTAGAGACATGCTTCCTTATTTTCAAGCATGCGGTCACATTCCATACGCTAAGGCTACTTATATGTATTTACAAGATATGCTTACATTAGAGAATAAAATGAATACTGCAGAATATTCAAAGTTTGTAAATAAAAGTTACTTTACTATTCGTCGCGTAGATAAAACTTGGTCTGGTATATGGACAGATATGACGATTGAACAAACTCTTATGCGGATAATGAAAACAGTTGGTAGTCTAACACATGGTAGAGGATGACGAACAGCGTAATAAATACATGGATTTTGAGTATGCCTGTTTTAAAAAATATATGTGCTAACATTGAAAATTTTGTAAATCTTTCTTCCAGTACAAGCGAACAGCACATCGAACTACGTGAGTCTAGGATATCTCGTGATGATAGTGATGTTGAAAAAATTGTCAAATGGTTTTCATTAAATTATCCATTCCCAAACAACAATTATATTATGTTAATTGCCACCGGAATTTCTGGTAATGATAAAGTAAATTGTCATAAAGCATATGAAATTGGTCTTGTTTTAGTAAATTCAATGGTGGGTAATAACTTCCATGATATAAAACTTAAAAGGTCAAATAAATTTATAACTCTAGCTTCAATAACTTCTAGTATTAAAATTAATAATGAAATAATTAAAGTAAACCCATTACTACTATTTCAACGAATCGCTATTTTAAAAAAAAGTGATGAAGAACTTTTGTCATATCTTCAATTTGAACTCGCACCTTTCCCTTTGGCATTATTTGATGAAAACGGTCTTAGAAAAACAAAAAAATCTGCCTTATATGATATTTTACAGCACATACCTTTAGAAAGTTTATATATTACTAGTGCAAAGTATGTAATTGATGGAGAATTTCTCCTCCATAAAGTTATTTGGCAAATGTATCAAACATTTGAATTAATTTGTGAATCTTATGTTACTTATTTAAAAAAACACTTTGGTACTGATGTAATTGTTGTGTTTGACAGTTATCAGAATAATGTAAAAAGTATAAAAAGTTCAAAGCAACAACGTCGAAGGTTAAATAAAAAATGTGCTGATGTATTTTTTGAAAGCCATATGGTTGTTCCTGTTTTAAAGGACAACTTTTTATCAAATGATAATAATAAAATTAGATTTATTGAAATGCTTAAAACTAAATTAGTATGCAATGAATTTGTTGTTAAAATAGCAAATGATGATTCTGACACATTAATTGTTAACACTGCAATTAATGTGTCTAGTTATCATCCAAAAGTTNTAACACTGCAATTAATGTGTCTAGTTATCATCCTAAAGTTATCGTGGTTGGTGAAGATATTGATTTATTAGTACTTCTCATTGCTTTAACTCCTAGTGAAAATAATATATTTTTTTTAAAAGCAAGCTCCGGTAATGAAGAAAAAAAAATGTTTAGTACTGAATTTATACAAAAAAATAATCCTTTATTGATCAATAAAATACTATTTTATCATGCAATAAGTGGATGTGATACAACGTTAGCCTTATTTCAAAAAGAAAAAAAAATGTGTTCAAATTTTAGAAAAACGAGAGGACATAAATTCAATTATTTCAATTTTTAATAGACCTAATTCATCTCATGATGAAATTGCTCAAAATGGTATTCAGTGCTTCTTATATTTATATGGAGCACCTGAAAATGAAAAATCTTTGAATAAACATCGTTTTAATTTATTCACAAAATTTGCAACGAAAAATAAAACTAATCTTGCTTCACTCCCTCCGACAAAAGATACTGCAAGACAACATTCTTACCGAGTTTATTTACAAGTGCAGTTATGGTTGGGTCGCAAAAAAAAATCCTGAAGAGTGGGGGTGGGTTTTTCAAAATAATATTTTGTCTCTAGTTACAACATTGAAAGCTCCAGCACCCGACCAAATACTTAAAAGCATATCATGCAATTGTGCCTAAGGTTGTGGTAAAAATTGTGGCTGCCGAAAAACTGGACTTATATGTTCTATTATATGTGGACATTGCAAAGGTCAAAGGTGTACAAATTCAGTAGAAATAGAGATTGAAGATGAAGAAGATTGTACTTTTGTTGAAGATTTATTCGATCAAAATTTGGAGAAGGACAATGAATAACAAATATAAAAAAAATTGAAAATTTTAGTACTCTTATCATTGTGTCTGTTATAAGAATAATATGATAAAAAGTGATCGTAAAATGGAAAAACATTGAAAATAAATTTTAGTACTTATATTAAATGTAATGTAACTCGAAAAATATTTGTTTAAATAAAAAAATATAAGACACCTTTTTCGTTTAAAATTGTCTTTTAAACAACTTTTATACAAAACTTTTTTTTGTAAGTTAAATATTTTTTGAGAAAATTAAAAAAGCTTATATTTTTGAACTTTTGCGAGGCTGTAAAAAAAAAGCTCAAGTCCAATCGATTAGGACTTTTAGTATGTCATTATACATATCTTAATTCAACTTAAAAAAAAAAAAAATTTTGGTTGGGTTTTAACCCAACCAGAAACAGAAATTTTTTCTGTCATTTTTCCTTCATTGACTGGCCTAATGTAATTAGCGATTAGTATGTAATTTTTTTTGGAAACTTATGAATTTGAAAGAAAAATTTTAAGTATATATTTTTTTACAAAACAGTTAGATAGTATAACTTTTGAGAGTGAACTTAAAGTAAAAACATTTTTAAAAATTACAAAATTTATGAAATAATAAGTTTTTTTACTTACAGTATCAGACTTAACTCTAAGAAGAGTAGCTACATCCTGATAATTAGGTAATGTTGCACTTAAACCAACCAACCTTACATCTTCTTGAATCGTTTCAATATTTCTAATTGTTCTAGCAACTAAAGCTTCAAGTACAGGTCCACGTTCATCATGTAACAAATGAATTTCATCCTAAATAATGATTTAATTAATTATATTTCTATTAAAATACTATTTCAACCAATATAAATATTATAATATTAGCATATGACATAAAAAATAAAATAATAATAATAAATAAATAAATAAACAAAAAAACATATAAAGACAAAGGTAAATAATAGATATGTAAACAATATGTAATTAAATAAATGTGGAAAAAAAAATAATAAACAAATTGGGTAAATACAGAAAATTTTTTGGTAACTAAAATGATAACTTCATTTATTAGTCGGACATACAATTTGGATAACCATTCAATCTCATCACTTTCAACCAATGATTTAGATTGAATAGTAAAACATATCACATTTCTACCTTTCTAAGACAAAAGGCAGCAAGTCTGTCAAAATAGTAGATTTGAAAAAAACAACTTCCTCTGGATTATCTTGTTATATTTGTTGATCATTAAATAATAAATAATACCAAATATTGTCTAATACTAAGCAAAATTGCAATATGATGTAAGTTATTGTTGTAATGCTTAGTATATGACTGATATTGATATTTTGTTTAGTATCAATATATATAAAAATATGTGTATTAAAATTGTGTTTATCATAGAATCTATAGTATTTACAATATTTTTGCAACAAAGTATAAAAATGTACATAAAAATTATGAATATTTTGATTTAAAAATTATTTTTTAATTTTTGGCACATGCTTCTTTTTGGCTTAGAAGGCAGTACAAATGTAATTACAAATACTTATGGCAGATTTACTTCAAATTATAAAAGGACAAGGAAAAACAAAGATTGTCAAAAAGTCATTTATTAAGCTATGCAGATAATATGTAACATTCATATTCAAGGAGTACCCAAGAAATTATTTTTGAACTGATATCACCCCCTATTTGCTTATAGCAATATGTTATAATGATAATATTTTAATATATTATATTAGATATTTATAGTATTATACAAAAATATCTTACAATAATAATAAGTCTAACTAGTGATACAAATGTTTTTTCTCCTCCTTTTCTTGTTATAATATCCCATTTTTCTGGAGTACATACAATAATTTGTGTTGCCTGTATTTGCTCACGAGTTAATTGATGATCTCCAGTCAATTCAGAAACAGTTAAGTTGTAGCTACTCAGTCTCTATTAACATAAAGTATAATATTAACATTAATATATTATATTAACAGAAATGCATAAATATATTCAATTCTAAATCTTTTTAAAATAAGTAATAAACTCATAAGAAATAATTTCAAGTTTTATTAAAAAGATACCTTCTAAAAGAGAAAGAAAAATGTTGACCAACAAATATATTAGAAGTACTTTTAAAAAACATAATTAATTAAAAATTAAAATATAGTTATAAATTTAAAGCTCAATTGATAATATAAGACTTTTTAAAAGAAAGCTACTAGACTTAAAGAACAAATTTTATTATTAAATTCTCTATTGCATAATATAAACATAAAACAATAGCAATACTTTACTTACCAAATTAAAAAATAATAAAATAAAAAAATTCTATTGAATTTACAATTTTCTAATCAAATTACTGTACATTAAGAAAGATTCTTATTTAAAGTGAAAAAATAAAATTTTGAAATTAAGATTAAAATAATTAATAATTTATTTATTACTTGCTCATTTTTTATAGTTGCTTAATATTTAATAAATTAAACTTAAATAAATCCAATTGTTTTTTTATATACACATACCTTTCCAAAACTTCCAACCATTTCTTGTACAAGAGATCTCATTGGAGCAATATAAATTATTTTAAACTCGTCTGCATTTATAGTCCCATCACTATTTATATGTTTTCCAATTTCTCTAAGCATACACAATAATGCAACATTTGTTTTTCCAGCACCCTAATATTTAATTATTAATAAATATGAAATTTGAAATTAATGTTATGGTGTAATTTTTTAATAATTACTGTAGGAGCACAAATCAATAAATTTTCATCAGAATCTAGTGTACTATTATACAACCTCGATTGAATTCTATTGAGGGTTTTAAAATCTTCAAAAGCAGGTTGAACATATTTAGGTAGCTTTTCTATTGCTACTAAAATTTCATTATCATTAAAGGGTTTTGGCTTCAATGCTGGAACATGTACTTCTTCATATCCTAAAATATTAATTGTAAAACATTTTTTATGTATTGTAGAAAAATCACTAAACACTTGAATTTTAATTGTTCATAAAAAATATATTTGATGACTACTTGAAGATTGCACTATTAGTAATAAAATAATCTATTCATATTTAAAATTAAATAGTTTTAACATTCAATATTAACACTATCAGTATATTATTAATATTGATTATTTTTAATTGAAAGTGAAACCAAGAACACTACTAATTATTTTTAGGATTATAAAATTTCTGAAAATTTAATATTACAGAAAAATTGGGCATTTTTATTTAAGAACTTTTAATTTTATATTTTCTTTATTTAATCATCTCTAAATGGAATTTTAAATAATTGTAAATATCTTTCAAACATATATATATATTAGACATTTCTCAGCCTCTTTACTTAGATATAAAAATTACAATAAATTAAAAAAAAATCATAACTTGTACCTCACTAACAATTTATTATTCAGATGTGTTTTAATTAAAATGGTAATAACTTCTGAAATACTAATTCAAAATTTGGATCAAATATTTTGTAAATTAGTTAAATTAATTTTTTAAATTGTCTATTTTATAAACTAGTTATATTTGTATGTAGCTATTAAAAAATTATAGTTGACACCCTTATAGGATACAAAAGAAAATACTAAAAAGCCAAACATATATTTTCAATGTCACAAATTATTTTGTAAGTAATTGAGTAGATTAAAGTTGGACCAATCATTTGTAATATAAAAACTACATAATAACTTTATATAGTTGTATTTTCTATTTCATAAAATATAAGACAAAGAATAAGAAAATAAGAATAAATAATGTTATTATGTAGTTTTTATATTACAGATGATTGGTCTATCCCAACCTACTTGATTACTTACAAAATAAATGTGACATTTAAAGTATTTGTTTGGCTTTTTAGTATTTAAAAAAGTAATATCCTTGTTTAAAATGCTTCTTCTATTAAATAACAATAAATATATAAAACTATCAGGATAAAGCTAGAATACTCATACATTTAAAATCTATACTTAAACAAAAATTTTGGGTTAAAGGCCACAATCTAAATATAATATTAAGAAATTATAATTTCTTAACTAAGTTCAATAAATTGACTTATTAGATTACCTTTACGCTGTTTTCTAAATGATCCATCTGGAAGTTGACATCTTTTATTAGACATAAAATGAGATCCTTGTGAAAATACTAAATCATCTAAATCTAGAACTTTTCTATTTCCTGCTACTTGTTTTCTGCAATCACTAATATTTACATTATCATCTTCCTCATTAACAATCTTTCTTTTTTTATTGTCTATGCCAACATTACTATCCTTAACATCATCGACCTCTTTAGTATCCATTTGACGTAATATACGTGAAAGGAATGGATCAGATTCCATTTTTTTACGTAATGATTGTCTTTCAGATTCACTTTGAGAGGACGCCAAAAGAGTACAAAATAAAACTATAAAAATTAAATTTGTATATAAATGTATTTTATAGGAAAAATTTGAAGGAAAAAGTATTATTTCTTACTCATTAACCGATTTTTTTTCAATATTTTGATAAAATCAAAACATTCATAACCTAGTAAAAGAACTAATTGATTTTCACAATCACGGTCATCACCAGCATTCTTAAGAACAGCTAAAACTTCAGCTGCTTTAGCTTGAGAGGCCATAGCATCACTGTAGTATTTAGACAAACTTCTTTGCAGCCAGTAAGCATCTATATCCAAAGCATGTAAACTTTTCTCTTTTTTAATTTGTTCAACAGGTTTCTTAACTGTACGTTTATCCAACTACAATACAAATAATTTTTAAAAAACATTGAAGTACGAAATTTATTTTAATTTACATTTTCTGCATGAATTGTAGCATCCAATTTTGACTCTTCGCCTTCATCTTCATGATCATCCCCTTCTCTTATTTCTCCATACACATCTTCATCGTCCTCTTCTTCACTTTCTTCAAATTGAACATTTATTCCATATGTTTCATCAATATTGTCTTCTATTAGAAAATACAAAATAAAATATATTCAACACTAAATTAAAATTAAATTAACTTTAACAAATAAGGTAATCCATTGACCATTACATACTCATTTACATAAAAATAATATTTGATCAGTCCATTGTGAAATGACTAACATTTATTGCACTTCCAAAAGACATGAAATTAATATAAAACAAAAAGATTTATGATTTTGTACCTTCGGAATCACTTAACTTATTTTCCAGAATTCAAATAAACTATAATTTTTTAGAGCTTCATCCATATATTTGACACAAAAATATAAATTATTTAGATGGCAAAAATATTTTATCAAACTTCTTATTAATTAACTATTTTACTGAAATATATTTTATTTAAAAATAAGTTGAAAAAGTTCTACTTTCTATACACATTTATAAGTTTTGAACCACCCCTCTATAAAAGGAAATGGTCCGATTAAAAAATAAAGTATATTGAATGAGACTTATATAAATAGTATTTATCATAAAAAACTTTTGATGATCAAAAGTTAGTATTATAAAGTTAAAAATATAAAAAATTTGTTTAACAAAAATAGTATTTTTTCTATTAACTTTGATGTTTGTTTTCACCATGTAAACAAAATAAAGTTCAAAATTTTTTTTCCATAATTAAATATATTACATTAGCATTAATTTGATTAATAAAAGTGTCAGACTTTCTGGAACACTTTCAAAAGTTAAGTTTAAAAAGTTGTCATTTTAAATCCCCCCCTGTGGGCTGGTAAAGGGATAAATTTATAAAAAAAATATACCAAATGATAGGTAAAGACATCAAGCATCTATAAAATTCAACGGGCATTTTCTGATAGATAAAAAGGTAACAGGACAAATTTTAGCTTCGATGCGAAGTTGAGAAGGTATAAATTTAACTATGATGCGTTTTTTCTTTAGTGATTTTAATCACTATCAGATATCATAATACTTGACCCAACTATGCCACATCATCACTGTGCCGTGACCCCCATGTGCTGGGTTTTTTATTTAGCTTCGTTGCAAAGCTGAGTAGGTATAAATTTTACTNTTTTTTTTTTTTTTGGTTTTTTTTTTTTTTTTTTTTTTTTTTTTTTTTTTTTTTTTTTTTTTTTTTTGTGTCTGTATAAGCTCAATCTCAGCTCTCACTGAACCGATTTTGATGAAACCTGAGAAAAAGTGGTAACAGACACAAAAAAATAAAAAAAAAACACATCATAGTAAAACCAACACCATCTCAGCTTCGCATCGAAGCTAAAAGTAGAAAAATAATTGTTCACTAGTTTAAAGAACTTTTTTTATGAATAAAACATAAATTAAAATACATGATATTCTTGAAAATATTAATAAATGATGATTGATCATAAGAGACCAAATAATAAAGAAATATACCTAATACATATATATATATATATATATATAAATAACCCAACCCAACCAAACCTTATCTTAAATTTTCACAAAATATCTATTTTAATGTATATAATTAAGTTAAAAAAGGGTTTTTGTTGAAGTTTTGAAGATGAACTTTTTTTGATCCACCCTAATATTCACTTTCTGTATTAAAGTGCTTATAAATCAATAATTGTTTTTAAATTCTATTGACCTATCAAAATTTTTTGTAAAAAAGGTTTAAAAATGGTTATTTTGAAATTTCAGAAAAAAGCACATTTATATATAACCCTTAAACAGTCAAGTGGGGGTATAGCATACCCCTACATAAATAAAAATGGATGTATTATATTACAAAAAAGGTGTACATAGATATAAATTTAGAAGATAGTTTTTATAGTAACATTGAATCGATTTTCATAAATAAATACCTTCGATAAAAAAAAATATATGACTTAAAATATTCATCAAAATTGAAATAAGTCATATTTACCCCCACGCTACTTGTAATGTTATAATTTTTTTTTTGGTCTTGTATTTTTTTCAAAATATTGTTTTACCGTAAATGCAATGTTATAATCGATATAATATTGTGGAATTGGAATTATGTGGATCTGGCACAGACTGTGCAATTAAGTTTTAAAAATAAAATCTATTGAGAATTTCCACTACTCGATAATACGGAACAAATAAGAACAAAACATGTAACAAATACATCGCGTCGCAATGTGGACACATTGATTATCGGTAATCGATGTGCTACTACAAACGAATAATTGTATATACTTGTATCATAATAATTAAATGTATTGTAATATTAATAATAAAAAAATTCAATTGAGAAAAATGATTATATAAATGTAAATAAACATAAAACTAATAAATATAAGCCATGTTTGAGCTCAAAGAAATACAAGAAAAATTAATTAAAATACATTTTGCAATAGTAAAAGCTTTTGTTTACAGTCTTAAAAATAAGATTTTGCAGTTAAAATTATTTTTTTACAAGCCAAAATTTTTAAATGAAATTTTGAAAATTAAGTTTTTTTTTTTCATAATATAATTTATTAGTAATGAACATAATTTTGTAATTTATTTATTTTTTAATTTTATCCATATTTATATATCATAAGGTAACAAATAATGCCTTTGAATTAAAAAAAAAGAACTTTTTTTATACTTTTTTAGAAATGAAGTCTGATAGATCCCCACGCAACTATGAATGTTAAAAATAGGCACGCGCCTGCTAAAGGGTTAAAATACACCATATTTATCTTAACCGTGTTATTGTATTTCTATTTACCTGTAGCGTTTATTAATTAACAACATGATAATATTAGTCTTTTAAAAATAAATACATTTCTTTGTTCATCCCTAAACTTTAAACGCATTTAATTTGTTAAAAATAAAATCTTATTATTAGAAATAAATAATAAAATTAAGTACTTATTGAATGTGATATGATATTATATAATGTATAATGTGTATAGATGAAGTAAGAGATTGTGTCCAGTGGAAGTTTAAGATAAGAGTGGCTAACCCAAAGTAGTAGAAATAAAGGCGAGAACAAAGAAAAAGGAGAGATAAATAATAAAATTATAATTTTAACAAAATTCAAAACTAAAAATTATTCTAAAAAAAAGTAACACAAAATATTTGCTAGATAAAAAGTTATTAGAAAAACATCTAAACATCTTGGACCACTCTATATATATTAAGTGTTTTAATTTAAAATATAATATTTTTTTTGCGTATTAATTACAGTTGAGGCTATGACATTGAAAAGATATTAAGTTCAAAATATAACTTTTTCATGGAAAATATGGGGAATATATATCCTAATAATCTGATGAAAAAAATTAATCAAATTTATTTATAGAATAAAAATTGTGTTGAATACAAAAAGATGCTTGTCATTAATCTTTGTAATTCAAATTAACTATTTTTTCCTTCTCCTATAAAATTAGGTTTTCGTAACTTAGTACCTATCTCATGTCGGCATCTCAATTATAAAAACATTTAATAACCATACTCAAATAATATTATGAACATATTTAGTTTACCAGTATTAACACCTCCTTTTTCATCAGTTCCAAAATCAGTAATTTTTTTCCCAAGATTTACTAAAAGAGCAAATCTTTCATCGGCCAATGATCCGAGTAAACCTTCAGTATCTAATTTTTTTTCTTTGTCTTTTAAACGGTCATTTTTTAGTACTGCTAAAACTTCATCAGCCGCTCCACAAAGTATGTCTCGAGGCTAAATAAAAAACATTTTTAATAAAATTAACTACTTAATAAAGTACATGAAATCAAAAAATTCATAAAATCCAATAAAAAATAACCATTTGGATCAAATGGTTATTTTTTGTTAAACAGCTTCATTTGGTTCACAAAAAATGTGTCAAGTGGAAGTTTAGGATAAGCGTGGTTGATACCAAGTAGTTGGGATAAAGGTGAGAAAAAGAAGATTTTGAAAGTAAGGTTATAAATTTTAGTTCTATTTTATCTTCCTGAATAACTAAAGTTTAATTAATCTACTCACAAAAAACTCTTTCAAAGAAGTCTAATAAAAATCTTTTAATAAAATTTAGAAGAGTCAACCACAGCAGAGCCATGAAAAGTAATACATCTGACAAAATGAAATTTAATGATGATTTTTCTAATAATTTTTTACAAAAATGTTGAAGAATTAATAAATAGTTATTTCTGAAATATAATACTTCCTTATATGTCTTTTTAATATTTTAAAGTTCCTAATGAGTCAAGTAATCAATATCTAAGTTTTTAGTTAGAATATAAGATTTATGAAGTAATATGTTGAGAATTCAATACTTCTTTTTAATGAAACACTGCATGATACTTTAATAGCCTAATATACATGACAAATATTTATACAAATAAACAATATAATATATCTAAATCAGAAATATTAATTTCATTATTAACTATAAACACATAGATCCAGACAAAATTCTTCCATCCCTTCTTTACCACTGCAGATTTATACTCATAGCACCTTTATACATATTATTCAATCAATCTTTAAAACAAGAAAGCTTCCCACATATCTGGTAGGTAAGTTACATTACCTGCATAAGTTAATCTCAGTACTAAGTATTTATAATTTATATATTAATTTATATCAGTTTCATCTAAAGAATAAATAATCATTTGTAAATTTTGCTAATCTAATAAAATGTGCAGTTCTAAACTTAAACTTAAGTATAAAGATAATACCTGATCTCCAAGAGCTTCTTGAATAAAACTTAGAAGAACTTCATAAGTTTGTCTTGTTTCCTGAGTCTTAGGTCTATACATTATTCCAACCATATCATCAACTCCATCTGATAAAAGAGTAGTACCTTTCATCCGAGCAAAGTCATATTGTGCTTCATCACGTTTTTGTCTCCTATTTTATCATTCAAAAAACTAATTACAAATAAAATTCTATATCAATGAAAAATAAAGTTCTTTCATAATATTTAATAAAAATTAAATAACTTTTATCATATTATAAATATTCAATATTTTATGAACATGCAAAATTAATATACCTAATTAATTTATGCTAATAAAAAAAAAAAAAAAATTAGTTAGTTATTTAACATAGAATATTATAAGAATAAAAATACACTTTATTTTAATGAATCTAATTTATTAAAAATGTTGAATCAGACAAGTTTTTTTTGTAAAAGGGGGAAATATTTGAAATATGTTTTATAGCTATACTTCATTTTAATATCCTATATCAAAAAAATTCAAATTTACAAATAAAATAAAATTAGACAAAAACATTTCAATCCAATATTTAAAAGATGATAAATTTAAGTTAATACTTAGTTTTAACTAATTTAATATTAATCAAATAAATAAAAAAAAATTTAAATATAGTAATTAAAAAACATTTTTCGATATTCTATTTAAGAACTAAAAATATTGGATATTTTAAAAATATTTACTGATGCTGCATTTGACTTCGATACATAGTTATACAACAGGGATTTTTTAAGTATTTGTGTCCAATTGGACTTCCAGTAATGAAACAATTCACCCACAGGGGTCCTATGTTTAGTTAATCCAAAAAGTCATATTTTAATTATTTATTACAGATTTTATGTTTTTTTTAAGATATTATTATTATTATTATTATTATAAATCTTTCTGTCAATCTAAATCTGGTTACCAATTCCAAACTTAAGTTATCATAATCTAATATAATAATAAAAAATTGGGTAATTTTATTTTGGAAACAAAAAACGCAAATTGATATGAATTTATATAGATGCAAAGTATTACTATATTTTATAATATTATTCAAAACAATTGTATCTATCAACTTTATGCATTAATTTATCTTCCACTAGCCTAGATTTTCTGTTACTAATATTATAGGTCATTCCATGTGAAATCACCTAATGTGTGTGCTAGTATAGTTCAGAAATTTATATCATAGACTTCTTAAAGGCCATTGACAACAAAAATATTTTTTTTTTTTATTTTATTGTTTTTTTTACCAGATAGCGCATTTTTTATAATTAAAAACATGAAAAAACAGCCTATGTTCTAGAGCCTATAACTTCACATGCAAATAAGCTATCACTGTGGAACTAGCACTGTTTTACTCATATTAAATAGTACTTCAATTTCATTCTTAAGTTTATAAATTTTGAATTTTTTTGAACATCGAAATTTTTATTTAAATTTTTTTAATTTTGCAGTATTTTAATAGCAAAATTTGAAGGTCAAAAAATTTTTTAATTAAAATTTTTTTTTCTTTTCAGAAACTTTTAGTAGTGTTATTTTAAACCATATTATATTTGAATAGATTTATAATTTTTTTTGTATCGTTTTACGGTCTTGAACAAGCAAGGTTTGCTGAAAATAGCCAACTTTATTATCTCATTACACAAAAGTGACTAAACGAATTTTTTTCAAATTTACGTAGTACTTTCCTTTAGGCAATTAAAACATCTGGTGAAAATTTTATGATGGAGAAATAATTTTAACGCTACTTATAGAATTTACAAAATTTACAAGTTGCGTATTATGGAGAATCCACAAACTACGTAATTTTCAACACTCAAATTTTATTTCTTGTATTTATTCTGCGTTCTGTAGTAGATTACGTTATTGGGACTCATAAAAATTCCTAGGAGCAATGACTAAGTTTGGAAAAGCTCCATTACTTTTCTTCATAAAGTTAATTACATCAATAGATATTGTTGATTTTTCGACTACGTTTTGATAAATTAAGAATTTTTCAAATAAATATACGCACAACTATCTTATTCATCTTAAGATTGAAGATGTAATACCAAGTCCATATATTTATATATAATTAAATATTTATTAGAAATATCTGGCTATATAATAAAGGGTTTTTAAAAAAATATATCTTATTTAAATCTAAATAATACATTAATACTAGTGTTCAGTTTTGAAGATATTTGTTAATAGATTTTTAACATGAAAATAACTAAATAAAATAAAATAATTTTATTGTTTTTACAACTTGATGGGGTTTTAACATATAAATGATAATAGTATTTTATTATTTAGTGTCTTAAATAGGCTTCCTTTTAAGGTTATAGTACTTCATTGAGATTAAATCTAATATTATTTAAAACAGATGTGTTATTTATATTGAACACTATGTTCAATTAATTCATAAAACCTATGAAAATATAAAAAAAACAATAACTGATGATTAATATATGGATTATACTCACTACAACTTGATGATTTTAAGAAATTTTTATTGAGAAAAGTTTAAAAAAATTCTGGTTTAACTATTATGCCACAATAATATCAAAAAATATTGTTTTAATCATGCACATTTTATACAATAAATTATAGAGATTATTTTATCGTTTCTTAAGGTTCTTAACAATAATTCATATATGAATAACAAAACATTAAAATCTTTAAACTAAAATGAGGTGATCTAATAAATAAATGTTTAAATTATTTACTTGGCCTTTCTTTCTTCAGCTTTAACTGGTTTAGTTCTTTGAAATCTATCGCCCATCTTGGTACCATCCAATTTTCCAACAAGTGAACATACCTCTCCGGTAGCTTCATCTCTATTACGTCTATCAATAAGGCGTACATCAGCTTGTAAAACTAAATTAGAATTCTAAACATTTAGATTGAATTATTTTTCATACAGATCACAGAAGATTGGATAAATTATAATTTACCGCTTTATATTCGTACTGAAGCTGACGAGCCGCTGCGTCAGCCATGATTTATATTATAAAGAAAAATAATTTAATTGAAATAAGTTTAAAATAAAATATAATAAAAAATGTTCATGCCATCACATGTTACATGAAATTTGTAATAAGTTTAAGTACTCTATAGACGACAAAATATCTAAAAAAAAACGTATAATAACGTTTTCAAAAACACACTACTATGGCCACAACGTTCTAAACAAGATATAATAACTATTGGATTTGTAAAATCCGCTTAATTTGTGTACATCTCTTATCAAAATCTACCAGTATAGGCAACTACTATTTCAATATATTGTAAGAATAGTCAAACTGATAAGATTCTAAAATTTAGAAAGAAAACTCTTAAAATATAAAAACAGATAAAAAAAATCTATTATGTCATTGAATCAATGGCATTGATTCAAATCAAATTTCAAAATGAGTCAGTTTAGAGAGGTGATTAATATTAAGGCAGTTAAATATCTATTATAATTTTAGTCATATCAACCATAACAGCACTAACAAAATGTTAACAAGTGCTGTTAAAAACAAATAATAAACATTAACAAACATTTATTTATAAAATCTGTAAAACATTTAAGATACTACTTCTCGAGTAGCAATTCGAGTTCATACCGGGTTCATTTAATATAGTAACAACGGCGCTGAACTCAGTTCAAAACCCTTTCACAGCACAGTTCAATATAAGATTTGAATATGGGGTGTGTAGCAGTGGTAACACTGCTATTATAATGTTCGTAGTGTGATAATAATATAAACTGTTGTCGTTTTAATAGAGATGGGATTTTTGACTCACTGATATGAATCAGTTCATTTGAATCAGTTCACTCTAATGAGTTGACTTAGTGAGTCAACTCCAAATCCCAACTCCCAAATCGTCGAATCTTTTAAGGCGCGATTCTGACTCGTGAGTTGTAGAAGTTTGTGGAACGCGAATTACAACTCGCAACTCGCAAGGCATTCTCGTAGAGTTCTTTCTAAATGTGCCTTAATAGTTATCTTAGCTAGATTAATATCAAATATGAAATATCAATGAATTATTGTTTTACACAAATGTGAATAATAATTCATTTTACTCATTGTAAATAATTATTATTTATTAACTACTATTGTAAAATGAAATGTAATATTGCTATCAATAATTTTTTATTCATTATTTGTTTATATATATATATATATTGGAATTAAACTAAAGCGCGATAGAAATGAGAATCAAATTCAAATTGTATGTACATTATGGAAAAAGTAGTTGGTTATTACTAATTAGTCATTTTATAAGATAATGGTCCTCAAACTCTGATTTTTACCTATAAGATGGTTGAGCTAATTTTATGTTAAAACTTCTAATCATTCAATAGTTTGATCCCTTTTTTCTTCTGTTAAAATTTTAGATTCTCAATACATACCCACAATAGTTACACTAAGAGTCATTTATTTGGTTATTTGATATTTATAAAATATTTTTCTATTAAATTGTTTAATATTTTTACTAATTATGTTTAAATTTGTTAATTATTTTTGAAATAAAGAGTAAATTTAAAATCTAAAAAAACTTTTTTTTTATTATTATTAACATCAGCTCATAGATTTATTCATGTATTAAATTAGGTATATAAATATACGAATACAATGTAGATATTATCTATGTTTAATGTTTAGTGCATGCAGTGAGAAAAATATGTTTCTTCTCTAAAAATTTTCTTGCATGCAATTACAGGTCTATTCTTGAATGAATATTGTTCTAAAAACTGACATATAATGTATAATCTAGTCTTATTTATTTAAAATTTTATTCATTGTGTCAACGCTGTTTTCTGTGATCACAGTAAACCTTGTGCACAAAATCGAAAATTTTGAAACACTTTTTACAAAAAAATTTACGTTTTTCTTTAACTTTGATGTCCGTTTTCACCACGAAGACATGTTCAGAGGTCAAATTTTTTTTTTTTCACATTAAAGTATATTACATTAGCTTTAATTTAAGATATATATAAAAGTGTCAGTCTTTCCGGAACATTTTCAAAAGTTAAGTTGAAAAAGTTAATTTTTTGTAAAAAAGTTACCATTTTGAAACCCATCCTGTGGGCTGTTAAAGGGTCAAATGTTCACAAAAATATATAAAATGATAGGTAAATATCTAAGGTATCTATAAAAAAAAAATTATATTGATTCGATCATTTTTAAAAAAGTTATTGCACTTTCAAGTAAAAAAAATTGAAAAAATATCGAAAATTAGCGATTTTTAAATTTGTAATTTTTGGGGGATTTCCCCCGTTTGCCGGGAACGAGGGAATTTTTTTCAATTTTTGAGGGTAATGTCTTCGACTAGATCCAATTTGTGATCTTTTGACATATTGTTCATCAAAATCGGTCCAGCGAGAGCTGAGAAAAAATAAAAAAAAAACACATCATATTAAAATTAATACCTTCTCAGCTTCGCATCAAAACCAAAAATTAATGATTATCTTAATGGCTTATTGAATTATTTCTGTATTTTTATCAGTGAAAAGGTTGGGGCCCCAGTTATAAATGTTATGATAGCTAGATTCTACAATTGAAAATTGCAGAACTAAATTATTTTTAAAGATTTAATTTAACTAAAAAACCAAATAATATGTTGTTCAAAATTTAGAATATTATAAAATGATTATGAAATTTTTTCGATTTTTGAGTGTGATGTCGTCGACTATAAACGATTTATTATCTTTTGACGTATAAATTAAAATTTATACTTTCTCGGTTTTTCATCAAAGATAAAGCAAGTCTGTACACTTGTTTATATACATCTCTGGAGCGTTGTATATCCATAGTTTTTATTAGAACTTTCTCTTAAAAACATTTTGTATTCATTTATAATATTCAGAATTACCCTTTTTTTTTATTTCAAACCACTGTGAAGTCTTGTGGAACATAAAGTTAATTGAATTAGCATGAAATAATCAATATCACATCACTTAGCGTATGGTTTCTTTCCTATTTCAGATTATATTAGTACAAAAATAAACTGCAGTTGTGAAATCTAATGTATTTGAAAATTTTTGACGTATTGTAATAATTTAATCATTGAAATTGTAATATTATTTAATTTTATTATCCATTAGGATTAGTAACTTTAGACGATCAATATGTTATCTACAGGTAAATGAATTATTTTAATACTTGTTAACTAAAAGTTTGCTTAATATATTACATAGAAACTATCCTACATTAATACTTTATAATGACTAAAAATGTATGTAAAGCAGAAACAAACATCAAAGATTGTGTATATAATAGAATTGTTGTACGGTGGATGCCTGATAAAATTGGAAAATTAAAAATAAATTTTCTTTCGATTCATATATTCGATCCATATTTTCCAAAATTATTTAAGTCGAAACAGAAAAAATTAAGTGAAATTTACTGTTTCTAACAATTATAATTTTCGGGAAACATTTTCCATTTATATTATACGACAGAAATGTTTATAAATTTAAAAATAGGTGCATTTTTACTATTTATTTTAAATATTTTCATTTCACAACAGCTTCGCAAATTGTTAAATATGGAGCTTATGAGTATGAAGATGGAACAAAATATATAGGAGATTGGAATGATCGAGGTCAAAAGCATGGCCTAGGATTTATTTCAATGAAAGATAATACAAGATATGAAGGAGGATTTTATAATGGATTATCATCTGGTCTAGGTGTATTGCAGTATTCGGACGGAACGAGGTATATATGTATTATTTTTAACGGATATTTCAATTTTTTTTTTGTTTCATTTTAAATGACTACATACTTTGTATACGTAAATAATCACTTCGTGTATTAAAATACATGTAGTTTAATAAATACTAAATAAAGTAGATAAAAAAAAAACATTATAAAAGGCCACTACATAGCGTGGGGAACGCGGCAAGTTGGGTCAAGGATAGATGACATCTGGTAGTGATTCACCATTAAGGTGGTCCTAGAAAAAAAATTTGTAAAAATTGATCAATACACCCCCCACATAATGTTCAAATAGTAAAAAAAATAAAATCTACTAAATTTGGTCATATTTTTAGTATAAACGATTAAATAACAAGAAAAACCTCGTTTAAATATAATTTTAAAAATAAACTCCTGAAATTAAAAAAATATCATATTATTTGTGAGTTTTTCGGTCTTTCTTGTTATTTAATCGATTAAACTAAAAATAAACTACATCACAGGACTCCCTGTAAAATTACAATACAAATTGATGGGTCACACTAATGTGAAATTTTTTTCCAACTTTGAACCCAAAGTTCAGGGGAGGGCGCAAAAGTTACAAAAAATCGAGTGACCTCTCAATTTGTATGAGAATTTTGCAGGGAATATTGTGGTATGAATTATTTTTAATTTTAGAGAAATTCGTGGGGGGGGGTATTCCAAAATTCTTCCAATTTTGGAAAAAAAAAAAAAAAGGAGGTCCTATTTTACACTTTATCACTCGCCCATACATTACTATGGTTCGAAAGATTTACACACTGTATATATAAACAAATTTTTATTTTGACTGACCAATACCGTCCTTGTGTAATGCGCCTTACATATATATTTATATATTCCTACCATCGCTGCCGCCGTTTATCCTCAGGTATAACGTCCTCCCCGCCCACAAAACACGGCTATACCTCATGCATAATACGATTATGTACGGAAGTCGCTTTACATGTATACATAATTTCTAATTACTATTAAAAATATATATTAACACGCTTTATTCTCATTAAGATATATAGAGTGTATTCATTCCTATTATAAAGGATGATTTCCGTATCGTCATTTTTCGTCACTACCTCCATGTTCCGGGAGTGGGTAATGTACGCGCCTGCTGCTTTCCTTGAATGTGGTAGCCATTTCTCAAACTCCCTCCCCGGAATCGAACCCTGATTTCGCGTTACCCGTTACAACCATGACATTGATAATAACTACTATCATAACATGAAACTAAAAAGTAAAAAATAAATATAGTTTAAAAAAACACGCTCTTAAAGCACATCGAACTAAAAAGTTAAAAATAACTTTTAATATAAGCTTAAAACAATAATGAACAAAAAATACTAGTATTATTGTGACAAAATAGTGGGTGCTTTGTGCCATTTTTTTCGTATATTAAGCGCCCGACGATTTTATCACAGTAATACTAGTATTTTTCGTTCATTATTGTTTTAAGCTTATTTTAAAAATTATTT